ATTTTTTAATTTTCCTGGTGAGCGATGTCCTCCACACTGACTGGGAATGACTGGACCACTCTTGACTTGGGGACCTGCGACAGGTCCCCCAAAGAGTTTCCCAATGGTATCAGGTTGCCTTATCTGTCTTTTGTTGACCTGAATTCATTGGTCCAATGCTGGACTTTGCCATACCTTCTACATATACCTGAAGGCTAAGTTCTCCTATATTTGCCATTCCCAGAGGAGATATTATTCCTAGAAATTCCTTGTCTACAATCCCTTATCAGATGTCCAATTCAACCACAATTAAAACATTTGGCATTTTGATGTCTCCTCATACCTTTGGAAATCACTTCTCCTACCCAAGATTCCATAATATAGTCAAATGTCTGATCAATGTTCATTGTATGCAGGATCCATTCATTCATTGTTGCTGATCTGACCTTTAAAGGTCCAAGTATCTTTCTGCATTCTAAGTTGGCATTTTCAAAAGCCAGAGATTCGATAAGTACTCATCTAGCATCTGGGTCTGTTACTACTATTTGTACAGTCTTAGTTAATCTTTGTAAAAAGTTACTAACAGCTTCTCTCTGGCCCTGTTTAACCCTGGTATAGGATTCAATTAATTTTCCTAGTTCTTGAATCCTGTCCCAATCATTTAAGGCTGCTTTGTGGCACAGGGACAAGATTTGTTCATCGTAAAGCACTTGATCCTGTGGGTCAGCACAAGGGCCCTCACCAAGAATTTGATCTTGGGAAGTCTCAAGTCATTTTGCTTTTCCCTGTTCTGAAATTTTAGCCTCTTCCCTGAAATAACATTTAAACATGAGTTGAGGCCCATCACTCAGGACTGCTGAAACTGAAGCCAGTCATGTGGTGTGGCTTTAATGCTAGAAGCCCATGTCTTTACCATCTCCCTCACAAATGTGGAATGCAAGCCATAAGTTATGACAGCTTGCTTAATTTCTTTTAGATCATTCATTCCTATAGGTATTCATTTACCTTCTTTGGAACCTTTTGGGCCTCTAGAACTTGGTGCTTTGTCAGAGTAGATTACAGGGTAGGAAGCTAAAATCCTGGGTAAGTCATTCTGACAGGTACTGGCAATGTTAAATCTTGTCCTTGCACCTTCTTTCCCTGCTCATCTGCTCCAATAATTTCCTCAATCGTTTCAAATCCTTTTACTACTGTCTCTTGTAAAGCATGAATCTCTTGACCTGTGTATATTTCTAGTGATTTCTAACCTCTGGTCCTCATTCTGCACATGTGATCCCAAGGTCTGAAGTTTCTCCTTTAAAGATAACATCTCATCCTTGGACATTATTTGGATAGTGTGCAGATTGCCTTCCTGGAGAGATACTCCATCTGCTAACCTATCATAACTCTTTAACAAATTTTGATTGTCAAATTCAACAGTATGAATTCTTTCAGATAATTAATTCCTCAGTACCTTTTGACATGGATTCAATTTTGTCTGTCAAATTAATGTTACCCTTTTCAATAGTATTAATTTTTACAGCAACTTTTGACTGTTGATGGTATTAATCCTGTCAGCTAACTGTTCATTATTAGTCTGTAAAGACTGTATCATTTCTAAAAGTGTCTCATTCTTGGCTCTGTTATCAAACCATTTTCTTAAGGAAATAATATGAAGAAAAAAACTGAGTCCCAATGTCCAATAAATGGATGTAACACAGTAACCATATAAGCCTTGCAGAATATAATCCATAGTATAAGCAAAAAAAGTCACTAAAATTCTCTATGGTAATATTGTCTGCCATTATAAAACTTTCAAGATTATTGATTAATTAATAAAGTATTTACCTTATGTTATGAGGCCTGGTAAATTATTTTAGGTGTAATAAACTTAATTGTCTAGCAGGTGTTGTGGTTGCAGAGTCGTTGACTAGTGCACAACCTGGTGCCATGAACAGCCCTGAGCCGCTTTGATTTTCTTGCCTTGTGTTGGGTAAATACTGAGAAATACACTTTGCTTGACAAATTAAAGGCAATTAAATCAATTCTGTACATGGAGCAAGAAGCCCAGAACTCACGGCCAGGGAGCACAAACCAGAAACTGCACAAGTCGCCACACGGCAGGGAACACAGTAGTGGGGGGGGGGGATGTGCGCGAGCTTGGGAAATTTCCAAGTCGCCACACACACTTAACTCCACTGCAGTGGGGATTTTATTTAAAAAAAAACCCACTTAGTAGATAAAAGCAAGCCATGTGTGTAGGGGTGGGAGATGTTCTGGGCTGTGGACCGGTTAGGTGTGGAGTTCAGATCTACGTGGGTGCCAGAGGATGGAGGAAGTTACAAGATAATCCCACACTAGTTCAGAATTATGTATAATAACGGGTTATTTATTTAGGGGAGACTTACAGATGACTGTTACAGATCACAGTCCTCTGCACTAATGGGGAACAGGAACAGAGTCTAGCAGCTGGGAATGAGAGGCAGAAGCAAGAGAGATTTACAGTATACAAGACCACGCCCAAGTGGGCTGGCATCTTAAAGGCTATTGGCTGAAGGAGTGGAAGGCACTCTCACAGCAACTGTACACTTAAAGGAGTGAGTTGTATGATGGATAATTATATCTCAACAAATTTACAACAAAGTTCAAGTATGAGTAAGAGACAGCTCAAAATCCTGAGAGGTTTTATTAAGAAGACAAAACGAGGGTAAACGAGCACGAAAGAACTTCATTATTGATAAAAGGATATTAATGCTACAAAATCTGGAATAAAGCTATTTCTAGGAAACTCTTTTAAAGTATTTGTATTTACTGACACTTTACACTTTTTTGGCAATGTAATCTAGTTGCAGGAAGAACACAGTTACTCTAAATACACACACTGTAGACGGACTCAGAGACCACCCACGCCTCTACTCGCTGTTAACAGCTGTAGGAGGCATCGGCTTAAACAGAGAAGGGTATTAGATACTGAAGGTTTATGTTATGCCATTCTTTCACAATCACAAGTAAAGCCTATTTCTCACAGATTTGCACATAGTATTCTACATGTCAAAAAGCAGAAACAATGCAATGAAACCTTTACACTAAATTCAACACATTTGGCTCCGACATGTACATTTGATTACAAAAGCAACTTTATTATTTAGAAAATAAGGTATCACATATATTCCTTTGTAACATTGCATCTAATCTTATTTAAAGCATTAAAAACTCAGTAATTTAAGTAAGAACTTGTTTGATTTTTCTTGTAATTTGCAGAGTCAAAATTCTTTTTTATTTTTTTTTTTTTTGGAAATAGGGTTTCTTTGTATAGCCTTGGCTGTCCTGGAACTCGTTCTGCAGACCAGGCTGGCCTCCAACTCACAGAGATCTGCCTGCCTCTGCCTCCTGAGTGCTGGGATTAAACGTGTGCGTCACCACCACCAGGGCAGAGCCAGAATTCTAATATATATTGAGTCTAAATGCTACTAGCAAATGACAACAATAGAGATTCTACATTTAATTTTTGGATTTTTTTTCTTTACAGAGGGGCTCATGCAACCCAGGTTGGCCTCAAACTCATTTATGTAGCTGGGGATGACTTTGAACACTTGATCCTCCTGTCTCTATCTCCCAAGTGCTGTGATCACAGGTGTGTACCACCAAACACAGCAAGACTAGAAATGTGAACAGAGGGATAAACAAAGAAAGGATATACCAATATAAATTAGAAAGTAATTATTAGCTTAAAAAATGTTCCTAAATATACAGAATTAGTAGCACATGAATATTGAAATATTCATGCATTAAAAATAAATTTACCAAAAGTTTGATTTACATAGAACTATTAAAAACTCCGCCAACTGAAAAAAAATACTACTTTTATACAAAAAGAGGCATCAAAATGTATTACCAGTTCAAAAATAAGAGGCCCCAAAGATTTCTCAAAACTAATTTAGTAACAGTTATACAAGAAATTAATAATCTATTTGAGGCATACTTTTGAGCCCAAATGGTTAACACTTCGACTTCTTCTTCTTCATTCTTTGTTGACTGAATCTGGTTGGTACAGAAGAGTCAGAATGCTGGGGCGACTGGCAATCTGGGTTATTGTGGGGAAAGGCAAGCCTGTGTGCATGTGTGTGCCGGGTTGGTGCTGAAGTACAGCACACATACACAGACTGCGACTCTGTCCGCATGATGCCCCACAGCAGGACGCAGATGCCAAGCCATCAGAAGTACTAAACTCACAGAGTCCTATCGCATCCCTTACCAGCTCAATCACTCTTTGCGGACTACTTGGCGCCAGAGAGGCTGGATGACTCAGTGAGGAAACTAGATGTTCCGGACACAGATTTGCTCACTACTGAAGTTAATGGTGACAGTGCACAGTGGGGTTAATCTTAAGGAAGTGCTCTACCGCAGGATTTCCTCCTCAGCCTTTCTCTATTTCACCAATGTACAAAAAGTTACCCATCTTTTCTTATGGGAAAGAAAGTGGCTAATATGATATGAAATATCAAACGAATTTAGAAATAAAGACGATAAGGCACTTATTTCGATGGGTTTGTTATACTAAGAGCAAACTGCTTTAGGTTTCTTTGAGAAACTCCTTCCTACCCCAACCCCACAAGCTCTGCTCCTCCGACACAGCTCCACTGCTGAACCTGACGGCTGCGAGGCACCCAGGTATTACTACTTGCAGATTTTTTCACTTGTTCAGCATTTAATATTTTCTAGTGTTGGTGACAGTTAAGATAGAAGTAAATCAATTTATTTCTCATACCTACCATTATCATTTTATTCTTCTTTTTTTTTCAGTAGTGCCAGGGACTGAACTCAGGGCCGTGTGTATGCCACCCGAACCCTCTGCCACTGGCCTACAGTCACAGCCAATAGAATCGCTACAATAAAGCTTATGTCTCTGTTTCAGTTGATTCTGAGTGAAAATTTAATTATAAACTCTTTAACTTTTTTTTTTTTTTTTTTTTTTGGTTTTTTGAGAGAGTCTCACTCTACAGCTCTGGGTGTCCGGGAACTCACTCTGTAGACCAGGATGGCCTGGAACCCAGAGATCCACCTGCCTCTGACTCCTGAGAGCTGGGGATAAAGAGTATACCACCATGCCTGGGACTAACTATAACCTTTTAATTAAAAAATTGTGTGTGTCTATTTAAGAAATATAATGACAGGAGCAAAGCAAATTATTATTTCAGGGAAATAAAACCAGCAACTAAAACACCACACATGTTACCATGTCAGTAAAAATTCAATTGACTATTTCATATCACAAGGGAAACAGGGTTTGTACTTTACAGTATGTAAGCTGCTTCTGCGTGTTTTTGTTTTGCTTTGTTGTTGTTGTTGGTTGGTTGGTTGGTTTTTCAAGGCAGGGTTTTGCTGTAGCTTTGGAGCCTGTCCTAGAACTAGCTATTGTAGACCAGGCTGGCCTCGAACTCACAGAGGGCCTGCCTCTGCCTCCCGAGTGCTGGTTAAAGGCGTGTGCCACCAGCGCCCGGCTTCTGCATGATTTGATCCTAAGTAAGACCAAATGGCTACTCACTGTGAACTTGAGCACTGGTCATTTTTCACAAAGCCTGATGCTAACCGCTACTGACTCCCAAGGTGCTCAGAGTCAGCCTGAGACGCTAGACAGAGGTATGAAAACGTCAGTTAGGCTCCACAACGGTAAAGCATCTTAAAGTGACTCTAAGTGCACACACCTGAAAAAGAAAAGTAATTCTGTACATATCTGTTACAGAAAGAAAAGAGATTATTTAGAGTTCTGAAAACGTAACTTCACAGCACGCGAACAATAAGGTAGAGAACTCAACAACTGTCTAAATTCAGTCAAACCGTTTCTCTACGGGCTTCACCCATCCTCAATCTCTTTAAAAGGCCAAATTAATTTGCAATTTCTTTCTTTTCTTTTTCCTCCCTGAAACAGGGTTCCACTCTGTATCTCTGGCTGCCTCTGTTTCCCAAATGCTGGGATTAATGGTGCAAGTCACTGCCCTGGCTTAGAATTTCTTCTAATGATAAAAAAGTGCAAATACACAACGGAATATAGCATTTATACTGTGAAATGGTGAAAACTTTATTTAACCCTTACTTTGCTCTTACTGTTAAACATATAATGTTTCATAAATAACATCACCTCATTGGCTATACTTTATAACCAATACACCTATATGCAGGTGTGTTTACAAGTGTCTGCAACACCTCCAGAAAACGGTGCCCACGGCAGTGTGCATATCATTACTGTGACAGTCTTCATTATTTTTATTTAATACGTCCATAGAGAACATGATTAGATTGTATACTCCACATCCACAAAAACCTAAAATTCTTTGAAATGTCCATACATATGTATGTATATGTGTGTACATATGTGTCCATACACACACACATAAATATATAAACAAACAAAAGTTGTTGTTTTAGCATGATTAAATTGTTAGGCATTTAATGGGCATAAGTGAGAAAGGCAATCACTTAATAGTCATGAAATAATCAAAGTACTAATTCATCCTATGTGTTGCTAAGAATATGCTAGGTCACTCAAGCAGCAGATGACAGGAACAATATCATAAAAAGAATCACTTTCCTTTATGTTATTTCCCTTCTAATTTAAATGTCACATATTTTTAACTAACATTAAATTTATTTTATTTATTTTTTTTTTTTTTGGTTTTTCGAGACAGGGTTTCTCTGTGGTTTTGGAGCTGTCCTGGAACTAGCTCTTGTAGACCAGGCTGGTCTCAAACTCACAGGCCTGCCTCTGCCTCCCAAGTGCTGGGATTAAAGGCGTGCGCCACCACCGCCCGGCCTTAAATTATTTTTAATTGTAAAAAATTCACAACTGTTACAAACTTGCTTTGTGAATTTCCTCTTCTACTATAGAATTAAATCACCCTAAGTACTTATTAAAAATTATGCTTTTGAAGTAAACACTGACCTTGAAAAATATCCAAATTAAAGATCAATATTATGATAGATAAGATTCACGAGGAGATGATGCGACAGGAAATCTTTAAATCATGTATTAAGGAAGAAAGCTGTCAGGAAGATTGCTGTGCTGGATCTGACATTTACTTAGACAGCGACATCTGATCTACTTCCAACAAAACGGTAAACCCAGGAATCAGCAGCAGGCGTGGGAGGAGCAGCAGCAGTTCAGACATCCACACCACCTGCAGGACACCGTGCAGGTCCAGAACCCTGCATGTGACTTCAAGTAGCAGTCTCTGAAGCGAAGGCTCTGCTATTCTCAAGACTGGAAGGAGATCACAGTGTTGACTTTATACACGAAGTAGGACCTGTTCCAGTACACACGAGTAAAGTAGTTCACATACGGAGAATAGTTAATCTTGACCTCGTGACAAAACCGTCCATACTTTGAAAAGGTTAATTTGTTGTCTTCTTCACAAAGCACCTATCAAAAAATAATAAACAATATAAAAAACTTACTAAATTTATGAGGAATATAATCCTTGTACTAGTATATGTATATGAAAATTACCTGCTAAACATGATTATAAAATACCTCATGCTGTTTAGCAAATTTAAGCCTTTTCCTATGTCCTCATGACCACTGAATTCCTGAACTCTGACTGAGAAATAAGCATAAAATATTTGCAGTTTGTAAAGGATTTAATACTAAAATTTAGCTGACATTGTTTCTATCACCTGTCACTAGTGCTCTGAAGAACTCACTTACACAGCTTCTAAGGATGAAAAATCAACATACCATCTCCGGCCTATGCAGTCACCTAGTAAGCAAGCACACATGTGACACTGCCTAGTGTTTGGCTTTTACATTCCCATCTACAGTGCTCACCACCACAGCACAACTAAACCTAAGTTCTGTGGGTTTTCCATTACATCCGTGTGTGGTGTGTGTGTGTGTGTGTGTGTGTGTGTGTGTGTGTGAGAGAGAGAGAGAGAGAGACAGACAGACAGACAGGGGAACACAACTTTTAGAAGTGCTAGGGATGAACTCAGGTTGTCAGGCTTGGAAACACAAACCTTAACCCACTAAGCCAGCCTGCTGCCCCATGCCTGCTCGTGTCTATAATATTGTACACCTATTCCAGACACCAGACAACCAATGCCAATAGTAAAGAAGCTCAAGCCCACATCTGGCAACACATGAAAGAAATAATAAAGAAGTGGGCCCCAAAATAACATAAAGGCAACTTGATATGCCATTCTTTATTGATACCTATGGGAAGCCTGCCCCTTTCTGAACAGAAAACAGAGGAGTGGATTGGGGAGGGGGGGGTGGAACTGCAGTCGGGATGTAAAATAAAATTTGAAAAAAAAAATCTATCACCAATAAACCAAAATCACTTTATCAAGCACCCCTGATAATATTCAAAATACACACATAAGTTTACAATGCAAGCTTACTGGGTCATGAAGACATGAAAATGGGAAATACGTTAAGATTTATTTTTATTCCATGTGTGTACTTGGTCTGAGGATACTGACTGGATGCATGAAGGGCATGTGCCCCACGCACACGAGCCCCATGTGTGCCCTGCACGCATGCAGTGTGCTCAGAGGACAGAATAGGGCATCAGACATCTCAGACTGAGTTACAGGAGGTTGTGAGCAGCTATGTGAGGCCTGAGACCTGAACCTAGGTCCTCTGATGAGGGCAAGAGGGACTCGAAATGCTGAGCCACCTCTCCAATGCTGAAAGACGGCAATGTGAGAATAAGTTCTTCACCTACAAACTCGTCTTGCCTTATTAAGACAAACATGATTATTTCAGAAGGGGAAAGAAAGAAATCCTGGCTATAGCCTAGACAGAATTTGTCCTACAACTCAGAGTGATCTATTCATCTTTTCCTCAAGTCCTGCAGGAGTAAAAGCATCTACTCCTGTCGGTACTGGTTATTGGACTTGCAGACTCCCCTGCGGCCTCCTTGGATACTAGGTAGCAGTGTGAGGGTTACTTGCTGCAGCAGCGAAAATTCATGTAGGAAGATTATAAGGCCACGTCAAGTCATTTTTCAAAGAAACAATCAGCTTTTCAAATGGTTACTTACATGTCCATTTGCAACATCTAATAAATCTTTAACCCTGCAGCCCCTCATGGTTCCCATCTCATTGCAGATGGCATCTTCTACAATTAGGTAGTTAGCTTTGTAAGATGTTAGTATCTTATAAATGTCCTCAGCAGATCGCTTTGAATAGATCTGGTAAATCTGAAAGGAAATAATTAAGACAAATTTTAAAAGACACTGAAAGCACCTGTTAATTAAAATTGCACAGCTTTAATAAGACACAGGGATATGAGAGCTGGTTCAGCAGCAAAGCGCATGACCTGCTCCTGCAGATGGCCAGTATCTAGTCAGGTAGCTCACAATGGCTGTAACTCCCTCTGCAGGGCGCATGATGTCCTCTTTAGGACCCCTCAGATGGCGGTGCTCACATGCACATGCCCCCACCCGCTATACACCTCATTCTGGGGACAGTGCAGGGGCTATCCTACCCAGTGAAGGGTGCTTACCAGCACCTCTGGTCTGCACCTGCTCCATTCTCACAGAATTCTATCCCTAGTGATGCAACCAAATACGTCTCTAGACAGTCCTCTCCAGGCAGTCTTCCTGAACTGACAATGTGTAAGAAATCATACAAAGATGAGTCTTGCATTATAGGCTAGAGATGTTGTCTTACTAGAAACCCTGTTTCATCTGCACTATTGTGATTAGATAAAATCATCCAGTAACTACTACTGACTAAACACCATAAAGGAAGGCAAACTCTGAAAAAACAAAATAAAACAAAATATGATTACTATTCTAAGAGCCGAGTTCCATAAAACATAAAACAAAATATTTATAACTGATTCTGAAACACCATACTGGGGAAAAGTCCTATCAAAAGAAGACAAAGAAGCTGGGCATTGTGGTAGCCTGGGCTACACAGTGAGATTTCTGTCTCAAAAACAAAAAGCTAGAGTTGATGGTTTCTTAGGAATTCTGTCCATATTCTACCCAACACCACCCTTTCTCTGAAGCACAGCAAACATCAACCAGACCACTTGTAGGTTCACCTCCCTCTGTCCTTCCTGCCTGGGTCCCTCTGTTCTCTGGTTGCTATAATTAACTTCCCCTTTGTCCCTTTTCTAAACTTTTTTTTCTTGGCTGAATGACACAAAATTTCACTTATATAGTCCAGGCTGGCCTTGAACTTACTGCAGTCCTTGCCTCTGTTTCCCAAAAGCTAGGATTAGAGATATAAGGAGCCACCTGTCAATAGTCAACTCTAAACACAGGTTTCTCAACTGCCTCAAGGGCAACCAAAATTCCTCCACACGCTCACAGAACCTGCCTCACTTTCTAGTTGGTACAAAGAAGTCTCAGCACACAATCACACATATTCCATTTCCAAACAAGCATCTCACTAGTCTTCAATGACCGAATGTGTAATGAATTCTTAGGTTTTGTAGGCAAACTAATTCCTCCTGCCTCTAAACTCTTTGTAATGGACATATATGTACACGCATGCACAGACAATCACAACCTAACAGTACATTCTCAGCACAGTGGAACATTCTCATAAGCTCAGTACTTGCAGGTGTGGATGCAAGAGAATCACGAGTTCAAGGTTAACCTTGACTACATGTACAACTTGAGACCCTCTTTCTAAATACAAAAAAACAAAAATAGGCCTTTTGAAGTTTTACTGTTTTGGTAATTTAATTCTCCTCAGTAGGACGATCCATAACTATTATTTTTTAAAATATTTTTTAAATTATTTTTTATTTTTTTATATGGATGCTTTGCCTGCATGTATGTCTGTGCTCCATGAGTGTACCTGATGCCTATGAAGACCAAAAGAGGACACTGAGTCCCCTGGAACTGGAGTTATAGACAGTGTGAGCTGCTATGTGGGTGCTGGGAATTGAGCCCCAGGTTCTCAGGAAGAGCAGTCAGTGCTCTTAACCACTAAGCCATCTATCTCTCCAGCCCCCAAATTTATCATTTAAATCATATGACTCAAAAAAAGACATTTTCTAAACCACATTCTGATGTTATACAGAATTATTTATAAAAGCCCACACCAATAAAATAAAGCGGAAGGAACCCCACAGGTAAGGTAGTTGGCTGGCTGACTGACTTTTGCAGTGCTGAGGATTGAACCCAAAGACTTAGGAATGCCTGGCAAACAGCACCATTGAGTTACATTTTCTTTTTCCCAAAGCAATTGCTTCTTTCCTAGTTTGATCTTGAAATTGCCTCCATCTTCCAAATATCTTGCATTATAAGGATGCTAACATGTCTGGATAAATCAAAACAGTACATATGTGTTCATGAAGGGCAGGGCAGGAGCATACACCAATCTCTTGCCAATTTTTTTTTTTGGTTTCTATTTTTGTTTTTTTTGAGAGTTTCTCTGTGTGGCGGCCCTAGCTGTCCTGGAGCTTTGCTCTGCAGACCAGGCTGGCCTTGAACTCACAGAGATCCCTACACCTCTGCCTCCTGAGTGCTGGGATTAAAGCTGTGCACCACCACCGCCCACCCTCAATGCCCCCTCCCCAGCACTCCACCTTATTTTGAGACAGGCTCTCATTCAATCTGGACGTCCCTGACTGGGCTAAAGCGACTGGTCATCACACCTCAAGGATCTTGTCCCTAACTCCCAGCACTGGGACAGAGGCCCAGGCTGCCACACTTGGTCCTTAACACGGCTGTTCTGGCTGCAAACTCAGGCGCTCACACTTGATGGCAAGCAAATTACTCGCTGTGCCCTCTCTCTAGCTCCACAAACGTCCAGATTACATTCCTATGTTATCAGCACCTATTGAGATAGGAAATGACAGTTTTCTTCAACAATGTGAGAACCATGATACTTTGGAAGGTTGGTGCCCCATTTTGTAATATTATCCAGCCATTCCACTGACAGCGTTACAGAAACTACAGAGTGCAGCAACCCCTCACAAAACAGAGAGCTTAGCACTTTAATCCTGGGCTCTCTCTTGGGTGAATTAAGCAACTTTCACCTGTTTTCTGTCTCCTGCTATGGTCTGGCTAGTTTGGAACGCACTATGGAGCACAGACTGGCATCAGATTTACAGTGGCTCTCCTGTTTCAACCTGCCAACAACTTCTAGAAACTAAAGTGAACCACATCTTCTCAAACTGGATTTCCCTAGCTATCAAGAAGCACGTAGCAGTACAGAACAAGATTAAAATATAGTGTTACAATAAAACACCCAAACGTAGAACCTGAAGTGGCTTACATTTTCGTTTCTCTTGAGAAGATCGTCATCGCTGTAAAGTGGCAAGCTCGTCACCATCCAGCCGGTACACAGCTTGATCACACCCATTAACTGCGGGCTTCCTGCAAACACGGCTGCAACTGGAGCTTGCCTCCTATGAAGAACCAGAGAGTACATGATAAAGTGCAATATGCTACCATATGCTTTAGGATCACTCATTTATACCAGCTCTCCCATACTAGCTCCTTGCGATATCCAGCACACAGCCCTCGCCGTCAGTGCGGCTCACTTCACTATGCATTACTAAAGAGAAGGCTAGACTGAACATCTACTTTATGTCATCAGCTTGTTTTAAGTACTGAAGATAAGGAAATTCTTAAAATCAAAGGGACTGGAGGTAAGAAACAAGAATACACTACATCAGAGAGGGTAGCTGGCTCTCACATCCCTGTTCGGCAAACATTAATCCACATGACTCAAATCCTTCCACATCCATCCACCGTCCTGCTGCTCCTGTCGACAGCAGTGTGGACCACTCCACAGAGTCCACTTAAAATCACTTCCTCCCTCCTCCCATTTATTTTCACAGTGCTAGGATGAAACTTCACACCTCTGCCTAGGATCAGAGAGTACTTATCAGCCTGGAGAAAGGGCTCAGCACGTAAAGATGCTCGCTGCCAAACTTGAAGCCATGAGCTTGACCCCAGGATCCATACAGTGGCAATAACTTGTCCTCTGACTTTTACACATATACCATGACACACACATGCTGTGGCACTTTTAGTACAATTGGCTCACATAAGCTCATAGGGAGGCACTATTAGGTGTGGCTTTGTTGGAGAAAGGTATGGCCTTGAGGAAGTGTGTCACCTTGGGGGCAGGTTTTGTGGTCTCATATATGCTCAAGATAAGGTCCAGTGGGACATACCACTTCCTGTTGCTTTCTGATCAAGACTTAGCTAGCAGCACGTCTGCCTACACACCACCATGCTCCCCGCCATGATGACAATGGACTGAACCTCTAAAACTGTAAGTTAAATGTATTTCTTATAAGAGTTGCCATGGCCATGGAGTCTTTTCACAACAGACCCTACCTAAGACACAAGCACAAATGCAATCTACCTGAGCTGTACCCCAGCCGCCCTTAATTATCTATTCAGTACCTGGCTACTATGGACTGAGCACAGAGCTAAGCTCTGGAAGGAAAGGAACAGCACCTGGCCAATGAAAGACTCAGGAGTAGGGAAACAGACTTAAGCCAAAATAATTACAATCAGACAACTACCCAATTATACAACATCCAACTGTTCAAGTCTTTGCCGTGTCCGCCCCCGCCCCCCCAACACACAAACACACCCCAACAGGGTTTCTCTGTGTAGCCCTAGCTGTCCTGGAACTAGCTCTGTGGACCAGGCTGGTCTTGAAATCAGAGATCCGCCTGCCTCTGACTTCCGAGTGCTGGGATTAAGTATAAGTAACAATGGTTAAGGTGACCTAAAAACATTTTTATATAAAGAATGCCTTTATAAGTAAGACTGCATTAAAAGAGCTAGTCTCACTTTTATTCACTCATTCCATAAACAAACTTGTCATTTTATAGATTCCAGGTTTGGCTCTTCCAGAATTTTTTTTTTGCGGCTGGGGGTGAGGGGTGAGACAGGGTTTCTCTGTAGCTTTGGAGCCTGTCCTGGAACTTGTTCTGAAGACTAGGCTGGCCTCGAACTCACAGAGATCCACCTGCCTGTCTACCAAGTGCTGGGCTTAAAGGCGAGCGCCACCACACCACCAGCCTCTTCTAGGACTTTTAAAAGTGTTTCGCCACTTCTGTTGTGTTTGGTTCCTTCACTTGATCTTTAACAACTCCCAACATAGTTATCTGGAAGTCTATCTAGGAGCAGACTGATCATAAAAATGGCTGCAGTAATTCTCTCCCTTAGCCATGGACATGGAGGGAAATGCGAATCCTAGCCATGAGATTTTCTGGATCATAGTGATGCAGGACAATAGTGGCCAGTTTCATGTCAACTTGACACATGCTAGAGACATATTTGGGGGGAGGGACTCATTGAAAATGTCTCCATACGATTGGCAAGTCTGCGGTAGATTTTCTTGATTCATAATTGATGTGTGTGGACCCAGTTCACCCCTGAGAAGGCAGTCCTGAATGCTGTAAGAAAGCAGGCCTGGTAGCTGGGCAGTGATGGTGCACGACTTTAATCCCAGCACTTGGAAGGCAGAGGCAGGTGGATCTCTGTGAGTTCAAGACCAGCCCGGTATACAAGAGCTAGTTCTAGGACAGCCAGGGCTGTTACATAGAGAAACCCTGTCTTAACCCCGACTCTCTCCCCAAAAAGCAGGCAGAATAAGCCACGAAGACCAGGCGAGTCTGTAGCACTCCTCCATGGCCTCTGCATCAGCTCCTGCCTGCACATTCATGCCTGACTTTCTTCAGTGATGGTGTTTTATCACTGAAGCACAATATTAGAGACAGCAAGCTTCCAATGAACCATAGCCACTCTTTCTCTTGGGAATTCTCCAGCTACGACCTCATAAACAGGTGCACAAACCACTAGACCACAGGCCCAGACAATCTGATCTCAGCTGACAACCAGCAAACACAGAGGAGGCCACCTCAGACCATCCAGTCCCACCTGAGCTGGCCGAGGCCGGGAGAATCTTCCCACTGTGCCACTACTTGTGAGTTCAGATCCATTACTACAAACTCAGAGATGAACCTGACTTTCTATTGTTATGGTTGTTTCTAACCGAGAGCTCACAAGCAGAGGAAGCACGGCTATTCTGGATATGCTGTTATTCGATGCTTTCCCCAACAATACAGACTTTCCTGAGTCCCAGAGTCATCCACCTTTGGCTGACGAGTAAGTAAAGAATGTCTGTCCCTGGTACAAAGGAGGGCTGCAAACCTCCACTTTAATACTTACCAGTGCGTGTCAACATAAAGAAGTACAGAGTGATGGCTCCTGAGGTTTACAAGTGAATGGGGAGAACAATTCATTGAATACTGCCCCTTATCTCATGAGGTGGCACACAAAAACTGGTTAATGACAGTTAGCAACAGTTTTGGGAATGTGGTCCTTACTTTATCCAGGTCATGAGCTCCACTGTATCTGGATCATAGAATTCCTGTAGTTCTGTTAACTCTGTAATTAATCTCGGAAAAAACTAAAACACAAAACAAAATACCCAGAGGTGTAAGTAATTGGAAAGTTTAAAACTGTTTCAAAGTATTTCAAAAGACTAACTCCAAATACTGCTGACCTAGCAAAACTACCTGGTCTCTGCCGTTTCCACTGACTTATTTCATCCTAAATAATTCTGTATTTCCTCAGTGCTTAGACTTTCAGTGCCCTGCAATCATCAGTTACAGCTTTCATGCATAGACATACTAAAGAATTAAAATTCCAAGACAGATACTTCTCAGGTTTATTGGCAATTAATTTCCTGTTACATTACATTCTCTTAAACCAAAACCTTTTTCATTTCAGATATTAAAATTGAACTTCCCAAAATCTGTTTAAATATTAAGACCTACTTATTCCTGGACATTTTTGTCAATGGTGGGCATGTACAACAGCATAGAAGAAAGGCTCAGGCTGATGAGACGGTACGTGTGCAGCCCCAGCACCTGAGAAGCCACGTCGGGAGGGTGACCACAAATTCAAGGCCAGCCTGGACCACGTGGTAAGACCTTGTCTCAAAAGACAAGCAAATGAGAGGCTGTAGAGATGGCTCAGAGGTTAAGAGCATTGCCTGCTCTTCCAAGGGTCCTGAGTTCAATTCCCAGCAACCACATGGTCTGGTGCCCTCTTCTAGCCTGCAGGCATACATGCAGACAGGTTATTGTATACATAATAAATATTTTAAAAAAGGAAAAAAAGACAAGCAAATGAAAGCAAAACCTTTTTTGTTTGTTTGTTTGTTTACTTGTTTTGTTTTGGGAGCAGAGGTTGGTGGTGCACGTCTTTAATCCTAGCACCTGGGAGACAGAGGCAAGCAGATCTCTGATAAATTGGAGGCCAACCTAATCTACATAATAAATTCTAATCCAGCCAGGGCTAAATAGTGAAGAACTGCTGGGGGGGGGAGGAAGGGAGGGTGAGAGGGAGAAGGGAGGAAGGAAGAAAGAAAGAAGGAGAGAAAAAAAGGAAGGAAGGGAAGGAAGGGAAAGAGAAAATTTGTTTAGGCTCTTTTGTTAGGTTCCTAATGTGGGGAAAGAATAAAAAAAAGGCAATAGCAGCATTAACAATATCAGCTTGACCACTTCCTAAATATAACCCCAGTAGCACAGACACTGAGAGAAACAATAAATGGGACCTCCTGAAACTGAAAACCTTCTGTAAAGCCAAGGACATGGTCAACAAGACAAAATGGCAGCCTACAGAATGGGAAAAGATCTTTACCAACCCTACAGCAGACAGAGGACTAACCTTCAAAATATACAAAGAACTCAAGAAATTGGTCATCAAAAGAACAAACAAACAATGGAGTACAGACCGAAACAGAGAATTCTCAACAGAGAAATCTAAAATGGCTGAAAAACACTTAAGGAAATGCTCAACATACTTAGTCATCAGAGAAATGCAAATAAAAACAACTCTGAGATTCCATCTTACACCCGTAAGAATGGCCAAGATCATTAGGAAGCAACCTCCCTGAAAGGCCATCAATACCACTTTTGGGTATATATCCAAAAGATGCTCAATCGTGCGAAAAGGACATGTGCTCAACTATGTTCATAGCAGCACTGTTTGTCACAGCCAGAACCTGGAAACAACCTAAATGCCTTTCGACCAAAGAATGGATAAGGAAGATGTGGTACATTTACACAATGGAATACTACACAGCAGAGAAAAATAATGACATCTTGAAATTTGCAGGCAAATAGATAGAGCTAGAAAACATCGTATTGAGTGAGGTAACCCAGACCCAGAAAGACAATTATCACATGTACTCACTCATAAGTGGTTTTTAAACATAAATCAAAGAAAACTGGCCTACAAATCACAGTCTCAAAGAACCTAGACAACAATGAGGACTCTAAGAGAGACATACATGGAACTTATCTACATGGGAAGTAGAAAAAGACAAGATTTTCTTGGGCCCATAGGACCATGGGAGAGGCCTGAAGGGAGGGGAGAGGCAGGGAGGGGAGCAGAGAAAAATGTAGAGCTCAATAAAATCAATAGGAAGGAAGGAAGGAAGGAAGGAAGGAAGGAAGGAAGGAAGGAGATATTTTGAAGATAACTTTCTCTTCTCACTCCCAGCTATCTGAATGGCAAAGCCACATTCATGTGCCTTATGAGACCTTAACATTTTATTCTAAAATTTCAGGTCAATGTCGTAAGAAATTATAGGTACGATGACTGACGGGGGGGGGGGGGGGGCACCAAAAACACACTATTAGCTTGGGGGACGGGAGTTGGGAGGGTAGATAGGGTGGGTAAATCCCTTTGAGTTCAAGGTCAGCTTGGTCTACAATGCAAGTTCCAGGATAGTCAGGACTATCACACAGAGAAACCCTGTCTAGAAAATAAATAAATAAAATCAGATTTGTTAGTACCGTGTCTTGATAGAAGCTTCCTACACACATACATACATTTATTACTTTATAGATGAGTACATTTTCATAAAGTAAAAGTTCAGTTTTCTTACCTCTTTCCATAAACTAAGACCTATAATAGTGGGCACAGCCATGCTCAGAATAAGAGCCTAAAACAGTAAAGCAAAAAGGGTTATGGGTAAACATTTTAGAATATATAGAGGTATTCAAACTGACACTATGACCAAGATAATATCCTTATAGTTAAAAATTCAATCACAGCCGGGCGGTGGTGACTCATGTCTTTAATCCCAGTGAGGCAGAGGCAGGCGGATCTCTGTGAGTTCGAGGCCAGCCTGGTCGACAGAGCTAGTTCCACGACAGGTTCCAAAGCCACACAGAGAAACCCTGTCTCAAAAAAACCAACCCCCCCCCAAATTAAACAAACAAACAAAAACACCCATTCAGTCAGAGACTGGCATGAGCATGCATCTGGTCTAAAGGGAGGTGAGTGAGGTAAAACGTGTGACGTCAAGGCTGACCATCAAAAAGGGAAGAGGAACATGGAAACACCGCCTTTAATCCCAGCACCTGGAGGCAGAGGTAGATAAAACTGCACTCAAGGCCACCTTGTCTACAGAACAAGCTCCAATCCAACCAGAGCTACACAGTGAGACTCCATCTCAATAAACCAGACGGCTCAGCAGTTAGGATGCTTACCTCACTTGCAGAGGACCAGGGGTCAGTTCCCAGAAACATGGTGGCTCATTAGTGTCCACAGGCATGTAAGTGCACACACATGCACTAAAGCACATACATATACACATAGGTAATTTTTCAAGGAATAGTGGTGTGCACCTTTAATCTCAGCACTCTGGAGCCAGAGGCAGGGGAATCTCTGGTAGTTCAAGGTCAATCGGGTCTACACAAAACGATTCTATCTCTAAAAAAATAACTTTTAAAAATACTAAAAAAGTTAATGTTTAGTTGATCTGAATTTATGGTTGCCTGTATTTATAAAACTGAGACAGGCAGGAGGATTGAGGATTTAAGGCCAGTTAAGTGACTCTGCCTCATAGAACAAACTGGAAAACATTACTTCTATAGTGATATTTCAAATAACAAACATGTAAAACCTTTTTTTAAAGATTTATTAATTATCTATAATGTTCTCTGTTTGCAGGTCTGCCTGAACACCAGCAGAGGGCATCAGATCTCAATATAGATGGTTGTGAGTCACCATGTGGTTGCTGGGAATTGAACTTAGGACCTCTGGAAGAATAGTCAGTGCTCTCAACCTCTAAGCCATCTCTCTAGCCCCTAAATATGTAAACCTTATAAAGACTTTTCTAAATGTAGGCAGGTGTATCTGGGTCTAAGTGCATGCATGTTGAATGCTGCTGCCTGAGGCAGCCTTCCTAATACCATAGGAAATCTTGTAGAAATGAAGGCTACACCTCTTCTGCTATCTGTGGGAACACGCGAAGGGACCGGCCCTGCAGAGCAAAGCTGCAGGACCTCCATGACACAGGGCAACAGCAGTTTTTCTTAAACTTTATGTGTTTTTTGGTATGGTTTTTTTGGGGGGGTGGAGGGGGGGATGGTTGCCAAGGGCAAAGAGTGGATATGAAGGGATGGTGAAATGAATGGGTTTGGGATACATAACATGAAAACCACGAAGAATAAATAAAAATATAGTTAAAAAATAAATGAAAGCTACAATAGTATCTTAAACATTTAAAAACAAAACAAATGTCTTTGGATGGCTACCTTGCTCAGCCTTGGACTTTCTCCAAAGCAATGTAGTTTAGCAACTCTGACGAGTAGATGGAGGTGGAGAGGTGGGGAGGAGGGGAGGAGGGGAGGAGGGAAGGGCGTAGGAATTGGGGCTGGTATGTAAAATGAAAAAAGAGTTTGTTTTCTTTTTAAAAAATAAAATAAACTACATATATATAAGCAAACAAATGATTCTTATCATCCATAAGAGCAGTTAGGAAGAAATTCTAGTGGTATATCATATTACGGATTCATTTCAACTTTTCCCTTTTATTTTGTAAGTACATAAATGGAAATGCATTTGTTTAAACCAAAAATTATAAGCCAAGAGTAGTGCTCATGGTTGTATTCCCACTTTTTGAGGATTGCTGTGAGTCTGAGGATAACCTGAGCTATACAGAAAGGCCCTGTCTCAAAATGAAACTGAAAGCTCGGTGTGGCGGTTGCACACCTATAAGCCCAGAACTTGGGTATTGGAAGCAAGATCAGGAGTTCAAGGCGAGCCGAGCTACATCCAACCCCATCTCAAAAACAAATGAACAAACCATAGAACAGGGTACAGATGAGCCAGTGGAGAACCTGGCTAGCACTCAGGAGGTTCTGGATTCAGGCCCTAGCCCTGATATCCTGGCACTGAGAAGATGAAAGCAACAGACCCAGGAGATCAAGATCACCCTTCTTCACTACCCAGCCAAGCACCCGGTCTGAACAAGAACAAGAAAAGAAAACTTTTAAAAATGTTTGTCATAGCTGGGTGGTGGTACCCTGGCTCTCCTGGAACACACTCAGTAGACCAGACTGGCCTTGAACTCACAGAGATCGACCTGCCTCTGCCTCCTGAGTGCTGGGATTAAAGGAGTGAGCCACTACCACCCAGCAGAAGAACAGCTCTTAGCAGAAATCATCCTCTTGATAATTCACGGCTCTATATGTGCCCAGTCGATGGAATATTTTCCCAAGACAAACACACAAGCAGTGGAAAATACCCATGGCTGGCACATGAGGAAAACTGCAGACAGAAACAACCAGCCATTGGCAGTCAGTGTAAAGCCCCACGGTCTTTCCCAGGTGGGAACCCCATCAAAGCTATTCATCCGACAGGTCACCTGCTGTGTTTATCTGACGTAGCTGGTGGGTAAGCAGTACTGCACAGGAAACAATGGCTCACCAGCAGGATAGGGTGCACAGTCCTCAGCCGAAGCCACTTTAAGAGTGTCATCCACAGCTCAGGGGAGCAGACGCCAAACGCGGCCAGCATGCACACGTACGGGGTCCAGAGGAATTTCAAGCTGGAAAATAAGTCCCACACCAAAATGAGTCACATATCGTGCACCCTACAACCGTCATTATCTGATTTCTCCTTTCCAAATTCTGTTTAACTAGCCACAGATATTATGGCAGAGTGAAAAATCTTTACTTCTAATGTTAGCAACAGATCAGCTCCCAAATGGTTGTTTACTTTTGAGACAAGGACCCATAGTGTAGACCAGGCTGACATCGAACTCACAGATCCACATGTCTCTGCCTCCAAGTGCTGGGATTATAGGTGTGCACCTCAAGGTGAAGCCCTCTTTCCTTCTTTTCTGAGACAGGGTGCCCTTCCTCAGTTGTCCAGGCTGTTCTGGAAATCACTATGTAGGCTGACATTTACCAGTGAGAGTCCCTTCCTCAGCCTTTTGAGATTACAGACATGAGCTACTGTGACTGGCTTTTCCTTTGGTTTTTGGGACAGGACCTCATCCTGCAGCCCAGGTTGTCTTCAAACTCAAGGTAATCCCTCAGCTTCAGCCTTCTGACTGCATGAGCTATCATATCTGACTTCCCTTTTCATTCTTTTTATTTTTTTAACTTTATTTTTTAGGTTAGGTTTTAAGAATCAATGGAAAGGAAGTAGTGATGTGGCCAGGTCAACAACTTTGAACTTCTGACACTTCTGCAAGCCTGCAGGCCAGAAGAGGGAACCAGATCTCATTACAGATGGTTGTGAGCCACCATGTGGTTGTTGGGAATTTAACTCAGGACCACTGGAACAATAGCCAGTGCTCTTAATCACTGAGCTGTATCTCTAGTCCCTTGAATTACAATTTAATAATAATAAATCATCATGCAAAAAGCATCACCAGTTATCTTCCATCATATTTATTTTCACGCATCTCACTTAATGTGAATCAATGTTAATTTTCCACAGAGTGCTCCGGCCTCTGCCCTCTATTCCTAGGAAGGAAGCACCTGCCTGAAAGGGATATCTTTGTAGAGATGGGATGGGTAGGCCAAGAATAAGAGTTATGCTAAGGGAGCTGGAGAGATGGCTCAGTGGTTAAGAGCATTGCCTGCTATTCCAAAGGTCCTGAGTGAGTTCAAGACCAGTCTGGTCTACAAGAGCTAGTTCCAGGACAGGCTCCAAAAAAAAAAAAAACCAAAACAAAATAAAACCTTTGCTAAATTTATTTATATTTTAAAAGTTTGTTATTTTTGTTGTTGTTACTGGTGATTTGGTTTTTGAGACAGGGTTTCTCTGTGTAGCCTTCCCTGGCTGTCCTAGAACTCACTATGTAGACCAGGCTGGCTGGAACCCGTAGATCTGACCACCCCTGCCTCCCGAGTGCTGGGATTAAATTCACAAACTGTTTTAAATGTACTCACAAGCTATCCGTAGAGAGGATAAGTTTTATAGCAATAACTGATAAACAAATGAACTTACCCTTCCATCAGCATTGCAAGAGAACCCAGTATAAGAGTATGAAAGACATGATAAATGATTTCTGGCCTTTCTCCAATTCTCCCGTCTTCAAGAGTTACAATTTCTTTCTGGGATTTACCACTATATAAAGGAAATATGTTTTTAACAGTTTGGAAAAATATACATGGAAAATCAAAGATACATTATCATCTTTGAAGGCTATACCTAAAACTGAATTTCTTCTCCTTCTCTAAGATCCCTTATGCCTGAACTAGCAATGCTAGCCATGACACTTAGACTGCAGAGCTAAGGAACTATGCTTAACCATCATCCTGCTTCTGTTTGTTTGCTTGGTTTTTGTTGCTGTTTGGATGACCGGCTTCACCATTAGCTCAGGCTGGACCTAGAACATATTCTGTAGCTAAGCTTGTCTCTACTCCAGGCAATCCTTTTGCTTTAGGCTATACAGAGTTGAGACTACAGGTCTTCAAGATACTTTTTTCTTTTATTATAGCGTTGGGGTCACCAAGCATAGGTCTTTATACGTTAAATAAGTGTTGTATTGTCTGCCTGTAAGGAAGCATGCACTCTACAAGCAGGGAAACTGACTGGGAACTAACTACTAGTAATTCTTATATGTATTTATGTTTGGTTTGCAACGGAGTTTCTGTAGTCTGACTAGCTCTGAATTTGGTATGTAGGCTAGGCTGGCCTTGAACTCAAAACCAGGCCCTTACTGCTCAAGTGCTGAAATTACAAACATACACAACCACCTTTCTAGCATAATAAACATATTAACACACATAATTATTAATAATGATGCTATTATAAATCAATATATTAATATATTCATATTAATGATAGAAAATAAATGTTAATAATTAACATGTCAATAATATTTGAAATTATTAAATACATTTAATAATGTATTAAATATGGTTAACATACATACAGTTATTTTTATTTTGTTATTGTTTTGATTTTGCTTTTGTTTCTTTTTTTTTAAAGTTTTATTTATTTATTACGTATACAGTATTCTGTCTGCATGTATTCCTGCAGGCCAGAAGAGGGCACCAGACCTCATTACAGATGGCTGTGAGCCACCATGTGGGTGCTGGGAATTGAACTCAGGACCTCTGGAATAGCAGTCAGTGCTCCCAACCTCTGAGCCACTTCTCCAGCTCCCTTGTTTCATTTTTTTTTTTTTTTTTTGATTTTTCGAGACAGGGTTTCTCCGTAGCTTTTGGTTCCTGTCCTGGAACTAGCTCTTGTAGACCAGGCTGGCCTCGAACTCACAGAGATCCACCTGCCTCTGCCTCCCGAGTGCTGGGATTAAAGGCGTGCGCCACCACCGCCCGGCTCCTTGTTTCATTTTTTGAGACAGGTTCTCACTATGTGGCCTAGTGCAGGCTGCCCTTAAATTCACAATTCTCCTAGCTCAGCCTCCTGAGTGCTTGGATGATAGGCATGACCTATCATACTCAGAAAAATTGACAGCAATTATATAATTACATTGAAATTAAAGTACTAGTGTGATTTGTACTGTAATATCTATAAAAAATGTTTCAATCCCCCAAGATAGGGTTATCCTGTATAGTCCTGGCTATCCTGGAACTTGCTTTGTAGATCAGGTTGGCCTCAAAATCATAGATCAGCCTACTTCAGCCTCCTAAGTGCTAGGATTAAAGCCACGCACCATCATACCCAGTCAAATATATTATTTTTAATTCAGTAAAAATTTTAGTAAATTAGTAAGTCTGCAAAAGCTTAATCTATTACTTACATATTTGTTTATCCAAGCTGGATTCTAAATCTTCACTGAATAACGTTAACCTGAGCTTTTCTGATTAATTTATAATGACCAACGACAAAAGAGCAGAATCAGAGGCTCTAAACCCAACAGTCTGAGATGGAGGTGGCACACACCTGCAGTTTTCAGTGATCTGGATGCTGAGTCAGGAGGGTTGCTGGGGGGATCTAAGCTCGGTATCACCTGTGGCAACATGGCAGACCCTTTCTCTTCCTTTCCTCCTCAAGAGTGGAACCCAAGCAGTCTAGCTAAGTGCTCTGCCATAGCACTGCACCCCAAATCCCAAACCCAGTCTCCAACAAACAGCTGGGTCTGAGTACAACTTGGTGACAGAGCAGAAGCTCAATGTTCACAAGGCCCTGGGCTATCAAAGCCCAGCACCAGACCAACAGAGGCACACACACCCATGCATTACTTAAAGTATTTAATATCTTTACAATTGAATATTATAAACACTTACTTCATCCTCCGAAAAATAACTTGTGTCATAGAAAGAAGACAAATAATTAACACTAAAATATAGAATGGTAATAGGGAAGATTGCGTCAGTCGTAAGAAGAAATCCTGAGACGGTGCCTGGAGAGACTCCTGACAGAGCAGCCAGTTCAGTGTGAAATTCCTACAAGAGACAAAATGTGTGCTGTTAGACTCACACATGCTTTAAACACTGAACATAAATAAAGGTATTTTAAAAATCCCAGTAAACGGAGACAAAACACATTTTCTAAAGCCACTCGTCGTTACAGCAAGGATGCAGTTATACATGAAGAGGAGGTCTGGCTACTACAAAGCACCCACCTTCATCTAAACTTCTCACAATCTAACACTGCTGCTTCTCCTACCAGAGTCACAGTTTGTAAACCAAAAACCACATTCCCAACAGCACAGTGTTCTGGGGTGGAGGTCAGAGGAACTCATTAGGTCATGGACTGATGGACTCATAATGGGACGGCATCATTGGGAGGTAGGAAAACTTTAAAAGATGGGGCCTTGCTGTGGGAGATGCTCTTGTATAGTGTAAAGATTTGTCACTCGTGCGGCAGGAAATATAGGCAGGGTAACAAGACTAAGAGAATTCTGGGAAGAGGAAAGGCAGAGATGCAGTCGTCAGCCAGACACAAAGGAAACAAGATGAGACTGCCTGAGAAAAGATAACAAGCCATTCAACTACATATAGACAAGAATTATGGGTTAATTTAAGCTGCAAGAGCTAGTTAACAATAAGCCTGAGCAATAGGCCAAGCAGCATAAGCCTCTATGTGTTTCTTTGGAACTGAACGGCTGTGGGACCATTAGGACAGAAGCTTCTGTCTACAGAGCCTTTCTGGAGAAAGTCAGTCCCCAGACGGATGCCTCTGAAGTACACGTCTTGTCCCTGCCCCTTCCTTCTCTCCCTGCTTCCTAACCTCTTTCATTACAAGCCAGTCGCCATGGATCAGAAACAGTGAACCAAATGACCATGAACAGTCATGATCTATGAAACTGGAGCCAGTAAGATAGCTTGCTGGGTAAAGGTTCATGTTGTCAAGCCTGAAAACCTGAGTTCAGTCTCAGTCTCTCTCTCTCTCTCTCTCTCTCTCTCTCTCTCTCTCTCTCTCACACACACACACACACACACACACACACACACTTTTTTTTTTTTTTTTTTTTGGTTTTCAGAGACAGGGTTTCTCTGCACCTTTGGACCCTGGCTTCGAACTCACAGAGATCTGACTGCTTCTGCCACCTGAGTGCTGGGATTAAAGACGTGCGCCACCATTACTCAGCATCACAATTTTTACCACTGGGCCACACTCCCAATTAAGAGATGAAGTGCTGCTCAGAGTGCTCACGGTACACTTGAAGAGCTGGCTCAGCAGTTAACAGCACGAGCTGCTCTTCCGGAGGACTTGGGTTTGGTTGCCAGCACCCACATGACAGCTCACAATCTGCTGTAATTCCAGTTCCAGGGGACCTAATGCCCTCTCCTCGGGCACCTGCATGTATATGGTGCACATACATGCACTAAGACTCACAACCATCTGTGGCTCCAGTTCCAGGGGATCCAGTACCTTCTGGGCACTTGTACACATGTGTTGCACATCATACATGCAGGCAAACACTCATTCATATAAAATAACAAAATTTTAAAAGTGTTCATGGGTAGGTTCAAGTGTCTATTTCAAAAATGACTTCATGGGGCTGGAGAGATGGCTCAGTGGTTAAGAGCATTGCCTGCTCTTCCAGAGGTCCTGAGTTCGATTCCCAGCAACCACATGGTGGCTCACAACCATCTGTAAAGAGGTCTGGCGCCCTCTTCTGGCCTTCAGGCATACACACAGAATATTGTATACATAATAAATAAATAAATATTAAAAAAAAACAAAAAACAAAAATGACTTCACTTTAAAAAACAAGTTGAAGCCTGAAAATGTGCCAAGCAGGAAAATAGCAGTAATAGATGCTACCAAAATATCTCATATTGGGGCTGAAGATGCTATTACTGTTGTTGTTTTACGTCACGGTGTCATGTATCCCACGGCTTCATGAACACCAGTTCTCTATGTAGGGGAGGATGACCTTGAACACTCATTTGCCAGTTTCCATCTTACCAAGTAATACCAGGACATGTGCTACCACACACAGCTTACATGGTGCTGGGGAATGAACCCAGGGATGTGTACACCTGCAGTCCCAAAACTAAAATCAGAGACAGGTAACTCTGAGTTCGAGGCCAGACTGGTCTACAAAAAGCAACAGAACAGCCAGGGCACTCAGAGAGGGCGGGGTAGTCAACGGAAAAAAGAGCTCTCACTGTCCGTGCACCAGGCCATTAGTGTCTCCTCAAGGATCCTGTCTAGTGAATAAATACACATCAAACATTTCATTTGCTAACTGTGCTATATAGCATAACAAGAAATTCAATCTACAATCCTATTTAATCACACAAGTAACAAAGATTCCAACCTTTCTTAGAACATGAGACATGTGTAAACAAACATCTGTTAGACAATACTATCAGGACATAAAGTAATTTCTTTCATTTTGTTTCATAAAGCAACAACTACTAGAAACACAACATTTAGTTGTTGGTTTCTTTTTTGTTTGTTTGTTTTGTTTTTTTGTTTTATTGAGACAGGGTCTCTCTGTGTAGCTTTGGAGCCTGTTCTCGAACTTGCTCTGTAGACCAAGCTGGTCACAGAGATTCACCTGCCTCTGCCTCCCAAGTGCTAAGATGAAAGGTGTGCACCACCACTCCTGGCCTAATATTATTTTTTAATTAAAATTAAAATTTAATTAAAAAATTTTTTTAAAAATTAAATTTTTAAAATAAAACCCAGTCAGCTTTTGGTCTTATTATTATAAACCCAATGACTGTTATATGAAACAAATACTTCCCTGTCTCCCTCTGCCCTTTCCTCTTCTTTAGCAGTATTAGAAATCAAATGCAGGACCTCTCACATGCGAGGCAAATGCTTGATCACTAAGCAACATTCCAAGCCTGCTCCTGTGCTTTTTAAAGATAAACACATGCTGTATACACGTGGTTACTGGCTGCTTTAGTTCTGTTTCTGCAGTGTTGGAGATGAAACCTAGGGCTGTCTACCTGCCAGCACTCTACCCCTTTACTACCTCTCCAGCCATGTCGGCTAATTACTCTAAGTTTAGACTGTGCCATTAATCGTAACCAAAGGTAAGACTTGAAAATACTATGAGAGAGCTGGAGAGATGGCTTGGTGGTTATTAGCACTCGAGGCTCTTGCAGAGAACCTAAGTTCAGTCTCAGTTCCTTTATCAGGTGGAGCTGAGACTCTCACAGCCACCTGTAACTCTAGCACCAGAGAATTTGGTCCCTTCATTTACCTGCACATACAAGCTGGCACACACATACATATGAATAAAAATAAAAGAGTCGGGCGATGGTGATGGATGCCTTTAATCCCAGTACTTGAGAGGCAGAGGCTGGCAGATCTCTGAATTCGAGACCAGCCTGGTCTACAGAATGAGTTCCAGGACAGCCAAGCCTACACAGAGGCCCCATAACCTGAATCTGACTGCTGGAACTCCTGGTAGAAGAAAAGAACTAACTCTCTAGATGGGTGGTAGTAGTGGCACACACCTCTAATCCCAACATTCGGGAGGCAGAGGCAGGCGGATCTCTGCATGTTTGAGGCCAGCCTAGTCTGCAAGAGCTAGTTCCAGGACAGGCCAAAACAATAAAAAGAACTAACTCTCAAAACCTACCCTCTGATCCTGACATGTGCTGTGGCAAACTCATGTTTACACACATACACAACATATCCATATACAACAATGAAGATTGTTAAATAGAAATACTATAATGCTGTTAGAAGTTTAAGTGTATCTACTTTTTAGGAGACTAGAAATGTATTTATACTGTGTGTGAGGTATTCAAACCATGTGCCAAGCATGCTGACCATGAGTTTTACCTGCAGTGTTGGGTGTAGAACTAGGGCCCCGTGCATACTAGGCCAATGCACTACCACCCCCCTCTAATCCAAAAATCAATGGCATGTCTCTTCTATAGAGCTAGGGCTATAGTTTTGGGGTAGGACATCGCCTATAATTCGCAAGACCCCGGAGACTATCCTTAATACCACAAAACCAAAACCAAAAAGTAATCTTCTACATAATAACATCCAATACTATTTTCTAAGCGACATGTAACAAGGCACACACTCCCTCCATCAAGGGTTCTTTTTATTTTCTAGGTGCTACAGATTAGGTGAACTTGCAAATGTGAAACTTACTTAGTCACATTTAGTCCAAATTTTACTTCAAGAAATTTTAGCACATGCTCATTTTCTTTGTGTGGGACAAATGTCTAGAAGAGAAAGAATCAGGCAGTCAGGCATCACGTACACGACACGCCACTCTCACAGAAAACATTACGTAAACAAAGAATGCTTCCCATGCCTAATGCTTTCTTCTTTTTTTATTTTTTGGTTTTTCGAGACAGGGTTTCTCCATCTAGCTCTGGCTATTGTAGAATATGCTCTGTAGACCAGGTTGGCCTCAAACTCAAGAGATCTGCCCGTTTCTGCCTCCCGAGTGTTAAGATTAAAGGCGTGCACCACCACCATCCAGATATGTCTATGCTTTTAATATACTTATTTTCAGTTACTAATGATAGAAAACACAGCCTGATTAAAAGAAAGGTGAATTAAATAGCACACAATGTCTACTATGAACATTTACTGTATGCTTAGACAAAAATGAAATGGCATTTTTAGAGGATGAAAATAACAACCTAGGAAAGCTAATTCAAATAATCCCTGCTCCTGAAGAAATTTTTGTTGATTCATTTGATTTTTGACACAGTCTGATGTAGAGGACACTAGCCTCAAACTCCTTGTATCACTGAAGATATTTTTGTATGTACTCTATTCCTTTGTTAGATTATCATTGTCATTAAAGCTGGCCTATATATATTTCTCTACTCAAATTAATCTAGAAATAAATCTGAGTTCCTTACCTTCATTATCAAATTCAAGGTCAGCGGCAGAGTACATACCAAATAAAACTTAAACACTTTGATTACTTTAGCCACAAAAGTTCCTTTTTTCCCATTCAGCTACAAAAGAAAAAACATACATGAACAAAGGAGTTGTAAAATTAATGATCTAAAATGAGACTACTTTTTAAAAACAGCAATGTTGATTACCTGAAGGCACTTAATTAGCATTAACGCGCCTACTAAACTCAACAAAGGAGACACCAATAAAGCTGGATTCTCAAACTGTAGCAAATACCCAAGGAAAAGGGAAAATATGTAGATTTTATACACCTCGTAAATCTGTTGGAACAAAATAAAATAGAAGAGAATAAAATGAATTTTAAAAATCATAATTCTAAGCAAATGCTCAGTTATACTTTAAGGTAATGCCAGGAAATGTTCAATCTGTAGGTTTTGATTTCTAGACAGAGTTCCTGGCTGTGGGAACTCACTCTGTAGACCAGGCTGGCCTTGAACTCACTGAGATTCACCTGCCTCTGTCTCCCAAGTGCCAGGACAAAGGCGTGGATTACCACCACCCAGCTTCAATCTGCATTTTTACCGTTGTAGTTGATAATGAATTTACCAATTTCTTTTCAGCATCGTATGGGAAAAGTAAAGAGCTCTAAACTCACAAGTGAGAGCTAAAGAACCTGTGGGTTGGTTTTTCTGCTATCACGTCGGCTCTGTGTAGGTGAGGGGCAGCACCGTCAGCAAACATGGATGGCTATGCAGGAGGATTATGAGGAAAGGCCAGCTTCAACTATATGGCACCTGGTGGTGATGACAGCACATGGTTTTAATCCCAGCACTCGGGAGACCAATCTCTGTGAGTTCGAGGCCAGCCTAGTCTACAGAGAGACAGAGAGAGTTCCAAGATAGCCAGGGCTAAGTAGAAAAACCCTATCTGGAAAAAAACAAAAGAAAACAAAACATAACTTAAAAAAAATAATAATAAATAAATCTGAAAAGAGATTTCACTGTTAACAAGTCACGATACCCTCGGAGACGCTAGCATGCCTCAGTATAATAGTCTTCTGGTGTTGGTATTGTGCAATTCTTGGCTAATTCCATACAAGTGTGTGCAGGAACAGAGGAGCCCTCAGCTGCGTGGCCCACTTCTCCCTTCTAGATGAAGCTCTGGCAATAGGACAGCTTCAGGGAAAGTGCAGAGCTGGAAGATGTTCGCTCTCTTCCTGCTTCTTGTTGGCTTGCACTTTCTCCAAACCTTACCTAAGACCGTCAGTTCTTGATCCCAACAGAACAGTTCTTCCTGCTCAAGCTGAGAAGACAGGCGTAATTTCCAAACTTGGTCATGTGCTCCATCCTTCTTGCTTCCAGTGGTCGCTACTTCCATAATACCGTAGGGCCCCTATTACCACCACCCTTTCAACTGACCAATGAAGACAACAACTTTGCTCTTGATTAATGACTGTTCTGGAAGGTGGAAAGGGTTGAGGGTTCTGGTGTGACAACTAAACTGGGTCCTCCGCACGGTAAGCACAGGGCGCTGCCGCTCAACTTGGCACACAGTCCTGGCTATTAAATCTTTACATTAGGTTCTTTCTGTTAAATTAATTTAAATCGTGATGCTCATCAGAGTTCTGAACAGCTGAGAATAAGGGACGGAGATATAGAAAAGGTTTTGAGAGACAATGCTGTAAAGTTACTAGTTTTTGCATTTAAATTCCTCATTTGAAAATGTCACACTACCTTGTCACTTTGTTCCTCTGAGAAGACGTCCAGCAGCAGGAGGGAGACTGCTTGAAGAAACAAGACATAGTGACTATACTCCCACACCATCATGAAAGTGTACGTTGAGGCGCTCATCAACAGGTAGCAAAACCTCTAGAGAAAAGTCAGATAAGATCAGTAGATTACACTGTAAACCAAGGAGCCGCCCAGCACCAGAAGCTACAAATCACAATGCCAGCCAGCAGTGGGGGTGCAGGTTCTAATCCCAACCCTTGGGACACAGAGGCAAGTGGTTATCATTCAATTGCCAATAGGGTTATGGCAATAACAGTAACAAAAAATTAAGATCTAAATGATCTGAGATGGATGTTTCCTTCCACTTTGACTAGCCTACGACATCGCAGGCAGGGAAGACAGGCAGACAGGAAACACTGCCATCCTCCGTCACCACTGCATCTTCAGGATCGTTTCTTTAGGTCCGTGTGACTAAAGGACATGCATGTCCCTGAAGTAAGAAAAACGGTAAAAACAATACTCAGCTAGATTAACCTCCAAAATGAGATATTCTTCATGTATTGTCACATAACCACACTAAAAGCAATACAACATCTGTCTTCCTAAAATTATTTGGCTGCCATCAGATTATAGGAAAAACATGGTGACACGACTACCCAGCTACATGTTACTTAATGACATGCCTCACTGAACATACACTCCTAATATGACTGACTTTAAAATTATGCACCATAGTTTAGCATGGTTTTGAATAATTGTACTACTACATGAAGGCAGGTGGATTAAGTACGCAAGGCCTAGTCTCAGCTACATAATGATCTTAAAGCCAGCCTGAATGACAAGAGATTATGTCTCCAAAAACAAAACAAAACAAACAAAAAACCAAACATGAGCCACATTTGCAAAACATCAGAATTAGTTGTGATGTAGAAAACAGATGTGTGTCTTACCTCTGCATAAGTGTTTAGATTTCTTTTTAAATAGCCTGTAAGTGCAGCAACTTGGCACGCAAAATATGGTAGAGCCCAGTTTTCTCTCAGAGGAATGGAGTATTCAATTCTTGTTGTATCCACCCTAAAACAAACCAGAGGACACGGAAGTGAGGCTGCACGCGTGACACTACGCTTCTCTCTTTATTTCAGTCCTTGTTATTTTATGCACATGCACACGGGTGTTCTGCCTGCATGTACGTCTATGTACCATGTGCGTGCCTGGTGCTCCTGGATGCCAGAAGAGGGCATCAGACTCCTGGAACTAGAGCTATAGACAGTCGTGAGCTGCCACTCGGGTGCTAGGAATTGAACCTGGGTCCTCTGAAGATGAGCCAGAGCTCTTAACTGATGAGCCATGGTGATTCACAGCAGCAATACCAGTATTTGGAAGGCAGAGGGTTGCTGCAAGCTTGGAGCTAGCCTGGTCTATATATCAAGTTCCATGCTAGACAAAGAAATATAGCAAGACCCTGTCTCAAAAGTATTAAAAATAGAAAATGAAAAAGTGACAGAAATCAGATTAGTTCCATGCTTATGAAGTTGTAATCAGCTTTCAGCTTTTAGTTACCTAATATAAAGAGTATAAAATAGTAAAAATTCAGGACCAGTGAGTGAGAGGCTCAATAGGCCAAAGTGCTTCCAACAAACAACCCCTGAGACCCACGTGGAGGGGAACTAGCCCTGAAAGGTCACCATTCACACACACACACACACACACACACACACACACACGCACACCCAGCATGCAGCTCAGACTCACAGACACACACACACACACACACACACACACACACACCCAGCATGCAGCTCAGACTCACAGACACACACACACACACGCACACACACACACACACACCCAGCATGCAGCTCAGACTCACAGACACACACACACACGCACACACACACACACCCAGCATGCAGCTCAGACTCACAGAGCTTTTAGAGCATGACCTGAGAACAACCCTCAGTTCTGTAAAACAGAGGATGTGAAGATACTTTACACAAATATTTAAAGTTTTTAGAAAAGATGTAAATAGACTTTACCAACTTAGAGCATGAACATCATTAGGCATTAAGTCGTGAAAATTAAAACTACACTCTGCTTCCCGGCCATGACTGAGACACACACACCCAAGGCAACAGATCCAGCAAATCTTGGCCCCAAATCTCCAAAACCATACTCAAGTAAGGTCTACAAGGAAAATGCAGTAGTTCACAGGTCAGCAAAAGCAGCCTTCTGAGAAGTCAGGCTAAGGGCCTTTCCGAGGATCCTGCAGACTCTGGGCTCTTACTATCATAATAGTGCCTCAAGTCTCCAGGCATCCTCAAAGGCAATGGAGCCCTTCAGATAGAGAAACTCTGAGGAGACAGCCCCTAGAAGCAGAATGCATTACTCCCTCAAGGGAACTACACCACTCCCCAAACTCCCCCAGCAGAAAGGAACATCTTACAATGGGAACCAAGTGGTCCCCTCAAGCAAAATGTCAACAAAGACTTCTCCTTAAGGGAGCACCTTTCCAGAACCAAAACTGAAGACAGTGAGAAAACAAGCCTGCTTAATTGTGAGTACCCGTCCCCTTCCCTCACCTGCACTGACAGCTCAGGTCAATTCCTGGGATGCTGGGTGGTGTACCTAGGGCTTGGTCTCTAGTCTTTCTAGTACAACCATGCTGAAAACTAAATTCCCTTCTTGCCGCTCATGAAAAACATAGGAATAATAAGCTACCATGAGATATTACTGTAGCTATAGGACCTGCGATGCCACAAGCTCTCAGCACCGCACACCCTCGTGCACATGCAGTGGCTTACATTAGGGCCAACTACAGAGCTCTGTGCAGAGCACTTCCTAGCAGGCACAAGGCCCGGGTTTACCCAAACAAAAGCTAAAGGGAAACAAAGCTAGGGAAAGCTCCTTTGCTTAAAATAGCTTATGCTGTGACTTCCAGATGAGATGGGAAGCTGGTGCCCCACGTGTGAGCTGGTGAAAGAGAAAGCCAGAAAAAATCTACAAAGGAAGCAGAGGATACCTGAAGGGAGCAGAGAAAAAGGCAGGAACAAAAAATAAACAGAACACAGCTTTAGCTGTGCAGCTCCCGCGAGAGAAGAGCCAGCAGCTGCTTTCAGAAGAGTTTGTTTTTTCCTTGCAGAGTGTGGTACTGAGGATTGATCCTTCAAGAATAAGTTCATCAGGGGGCTGGGGAAAGGTTACTCTTGCAGAGGACCCAGGTTCAATTCTCAAAACGCACATAGCAGACTTGTGGTGGTCTGTAACTACAGTCCAGGGCATCTAACGCCTTCTTCTGGTCCCTGTGGGTACCAGGAATACATATATGATGCACAGGCATACACACAGGCAAAACCCATATACGTAAAAATAAATATTTCTAAAAAGAAACTCATCAGTAAGATGCCCATCCCCCTAACTACTATGAATGCTTACCTAGCATGCCCTGGAACCTGGGTTCACTCTCCAGCCTCACATGGGACACGTCTGCCTTTCCAGTACTGGAGAAGATCGTGCATCTGATACCACACCAGGTACAAAGCAAGCTGAGACCAGCCTGGCCAACACAGCAAGATTCTGTCTCAAAAACAAAAACTACCAGGAAACTGGCTCAGTGGGAGAATCCCTACCTCGCATGTAAAAAACTATATGCTGTTCCTCAACAGCAAAAAGATTAAAAGGTTTTTCAGGCTTCTTACCAAAATGCCATGATACATAGTTAATGATCAGATGAAAAGAGTATTAATTTTATCAAACATTGCAGCCTCTATACTGGTATTAATGGTGCCTGCCTTCTGGCGTTAATGCTGTCATCTTCCATAGTACATGTATCAGAGTGATGCTATTCTGTCTCCAAGGTTCGGTTATAAAAAGACACCTATTAGCCGGGGGTGGCGGTGGGGGGGGGGGTGCCGCACCCCTTTAATCCCAGCACTCAGGAGGCAGAGGCAGGCAGATCTCTGGGAGTTCAAGGCCAGCTTGGTCTACAAAGCTAGTTTCAAGACAGCTAAGGGCTATTACAAAGAGAAACTGTGTCTCAAAAAACCAAACAAACAAACAAAAAAACTAACAACAATAACAAAAAGACATCTATCAATGACATTCTTTCAGTCTCTTGGATTATTTTACTGTAAATAGCATTTTTTTTTTTTTTTTGAGACAGGGTCTCTCTGTGTAGCAGCTCTGGCTGTCCTGGAACTCTGGCCACAAACTCACAGACATCCGCCTGCCTCTGCCTCCCCAGTCCTGGTATTAAAGCTGTGCACCATTACACCAGGCTGGGATTAAGTTTTTTTGAGTCAGACAAGGAGGACCTAAAACTCAGCTAGGTACACGCCACGGTGTACACGTTGGGGTTACAGGACAATCTGCAGGAATCTGTTCTCTTGGATGGTCCACCATATGGTCCCCAGGATCAAACTCGGTCATCAGGCTGAGCACACACTCACTGAGTGCTCACAGAATTCACCTTCTCTTTGCTTCCAGCTGGCTGTGGCCCAGTGAATCCTACCCTCCTTTGAATCTCTTTAATGTCACCACTTCTGTCGCTAGAGAACCTTTTCTGCTTTGTTTTACCCTCATGTGTATATGGGTGTGCATATACCTGTGTGTGTTGTCAAGTATATGGGAGCACACGTATAAAGAGTCCTGATGTTGACTCAGTACCCGTCCGCGATTGAGCTCCATCTAACTCGCTGAGGTAGGGTCTTATGATCACCAGAGAGCTTGCCAACATGACAAGACTGGCTAACTAACTGGCTCAAGGGAGACTTCTGAGAGCTGGAATCACAGGCAGGCCCCCGTCCACCCAGCATCTAACAGGCTCTGGGAACACAAACTCTAGTTCCCACACTTGTACAGCAACTGCTTTAACCACTGAACCAGCTTCCCAGACCTGTTTTTTTCTCTTTTTTTTTTTTTGAGACACGATTTCTCTGTGAAACAGACCTGGCTGTTTCCAAGTGCTGGGATTAAAGGTGTGTGCCACCACTGCCAGGCTCCCAGACCTGCTTTATCAGTGATCATATCTAGATTAGGCCCTGAGGGGAATCTACCTAAACTGTACTGTATAGTACAACAATCAATAGGCTTTGCAGATCATAGCTGTGAATTGTAAGGATGGGAATATTTCTGGAACAAAATTTTGTAGTATCAATAAGAAAGCCTTTCATACCTATTAATTAGGAACCACGCAACAGTAAGCATCCCTGCAAGCCATGTGCCACTCATAAGCCAACTTGTGACAAATAAAGCTGTCACATATATTCCTTGTAATCCAAAGACAATGCCAATGTAGAAATATACTGGTTCAATCATCTCCTAAAGGCAAAAGAGAGAGGGGATGAGACAGAGGATGACGTTAAACAACTCAAGGATACACAACTGTGTGAGAAAACGGACAATAAAGTGAAAAAGAGGGGGGCTGGAAAGATAGCCCAGTGGTTAAGACGGTTTTTCTTCTTGCAGAGGACCTCAGTTCCGTTTCAGAGTCCACAACGTGACTCACAACCACCTGTGCCTTCTAGAGCAGTGGTTCTCAGCCTTACTAATGCTGAATGAAATCCTTAACACAGCTCCTCGTGCTGTGGTGACCCCCAACCAGAAAATAAATTTGCTGCTACTTCATAGCTGTAATTTTGCTACTGTTATATCTGATATGTAACCCCCAAAGGGGTGGAGGTCCACAGTTGAACACTGCTGTGATCTGAAGACACCAGGCAGGTACGCATGTGCTGCACTACAGATGTGCAAGCAGAACACTCTCACACATGAACTACATCCAGAGTAGAGGGCACTACGTACATGGCTACCCGTTGCTCGGTAGAGAACACTGGCAATGAGCTCCGGGTACAGAGACAGCTGCTGCACCGCGTTGATCGTCCTCAGGGAGACGGTCTTGTTGTTGTGCGTCAGCTCGTAAACACCTAAACACACAGAGTTCTCTCTGACCACGGCTCGGCACGGCATTCATCAGTCACCACGATTAACACGGAAAGAAAGACACTCAAGTGCAACACGGGTGCCTCATTTCCCCAAAGTTCTTACCATGTACATAAAAGCATAACCTACATTCTAAGACAAATTCCCTTCCTAAAGCTCTTATTCTCTATTTTAGAACAATGTTACTACAATTTTAAGTGTAGGTGTCCATACCTCTTTCAAACGTCGGCGCCTTTAACATGTCTTTGTAATAGGAGTAATAAATAGCACTGTCACCCTGAAACGTGATTTCTCGTTCAAGTTCCTACAATGAAACAGGATTGAGATGTCAGTGTTAAATGTCAGCTGTACTCTTTTTTCCCCCTCATCTTCTTGTGTTTGGCTGTTTGTCTCCTTCATATTTTAAATTGACATAACAAGGATTTACCATTTTATTCCAGGAGATATTTGAATTTTCCTTAATTACCATATTACTAAGATTCAGTATCTCAACAGTCTGGCAATCATTTTGGTGAAAACACCATTTCAAATGAATTACAACTGGTCCATTATGTTTTATATATAAGGAAATTCTAGAAGGAAAGCCCAAAGAATATCCTTAAAACAGCAATAGTAGTAAAAGGTAATAATGATAAACTCTTGTCAGGATTTAAAATAAAGCCAGGCACAGTTCTAGCACTCAGGAAGATGAGGCAGGAGGATCAAGTCTGAGACTAGCTTGAGCTACAGAGTGAATTCCTGGCCAGCCTGAGCTACTTGGTGTGACACTGTATAAAAAGTATTAAATGACTTTAAAAACAAAAAGCCCAAAATAAGAAGATAAATTAATGCAGAAAGCAGTGTTTTCTGTGACTATATATAACCTTAAGTACGATAAGAATGAGGCCTTAACAGGTACATTTGAGGAACCACGGATTCTCAATCAGTGTTTTCTGTAAATAAGCGAAATTCCCAACTCTAAGAGGCTGGACATGCAGCTCCGTGTAGAGGGCTTGCAGGTCCTGGTTCAATCTTCACTCAGAAAGAAAAGAAGCCTAAGGTTTAAGTATAAAGAACCAAAAAAAGTAGCAATTAAGAACATAACGGGGTTGGGGAGATGGCTTGGCTATTAAAGCGCTTGCTGCTCAAGCAAGAGGACCAGAGTTCAGATTCCCAAACCCACGTAACTGCGAACTGGGCCCACCTTGGATGTTCAGCCACAGAAGGCAGAGATGGGACCTTCGGAGCAAGCTTAGCCAGCCATAGTGGCTAGCTTTGGGTTTCAGAGACCCTACCTCAAAGGACATCGTGGAAAGCAGATGAAGGTTCCTCCACAGACACACATGTGCATCTACATGGTGTGTGATATTTGGAAAAAATGGAAAAGAAAAAAAAATGTAACTGCTTGAGAGGTGGCTCAGCAGTTAAGAGGACCCAGGTTGGATTCCCAGCACCCCAATGGTGGCTCACAGCCATCTGTACTGGGATCTGATGCCCTCTTCTGGCATGCAGGCAGAGCACTCACAAAAAGACACACCAAACCACAAGGGTAAAGCCCAGGTGTGGTTGCCACCCCTTTAGCTCCAGGGCTCTAGAAGCTGAGGCAGGCGGAGCTCTGCTGATGCGAGCTTGCTCTGTTAGCAAGTTCCAGGCTAACCAGAAAATACACAGCGAGACCCAATCTCAAACAAACAAGCACCATCAGAATGCTATATATTTTTCAATGCTAAGTCAGCTTTTGCTCTGCCATAACCTTATTTCCTCCTGTACTGGGGCCAAACCCTAGGCCTGGCATTAGTTAGTCAAGAGCTTTAAACCCTGCACTACAATCGCAGGCCTGATCAGATCACCTCTTAACATCGAGCTGTGTTCACACATAACATAAATCTGAATTATTTTTTTCAAGATAGGGTTTTTCTGTGTAGCCCTGAACGTCCTGGAACTCGCTCTGGAGACCATTTTGGCCTCAAAATCACAGAGCTCTGCCTTCCTCTGCTGGGAGTGCTGGGGTTAAAGGCGTGTGCCACCACACTCAGCTCCAAAATCTGCATTTCAATTGTTCCAAAGGCTAAAACTTGTGTGTGTGGACATGCTGGGTCAAGTGGAAAATGCTGTACCCTGACTCTGTGTAAGAACAGTAAAAAGGCTAGCACACAGAAATGTAAAAATACCCTAGACTACATGTATAAAACTATATAATACTTTGTGCTTAGGCTTGGAACCCCTCCCCAAGACATCAGATTATACATATATAAATACTGCAAAATTTTAAAAAATCGAAATAAAAAATACCCATATATAACAGTCAAGCTTGTAGTCTTGTTAGTTAGATTTTCTAGATGTACAAAGATATTTCAGATGGATAGCTATTCTTCAAACCTTTCAAAGACTAATAGAATATGGCATTTAAAATATTTTAAGAACTTAGAATTTGTTATAACAATGAGATTCATTTGCTCCTGGCAGCACCAATCTACTTCAAGAGGAAGATGGGCATGAAAGAGGCTCCTTATAGAGTTTGTTAGCTATCTGGGCAAGAAACTGCTCTTGCCTGGACTGCTTGATGGTATGTTGTATAAACTGGACATGCAGAACCCAGAGAAAATGTAAAGTTGCCTAAAGAAGGTGAGACAGTCCTTCAGGGTTCCTGTTTCATGAAAGAGTCTGCAAGACATTCTGCAGGAAACGGAAGAAAGTAACCGACAAACTGCCAATATAGGCGGAACTATCTTTCAAATTTCCTGCTTCATGGAAAAGTCTGCCAGATACTATGAGGCCTGTAGGTTGAAGATGGATGCCTCAATGTTACAAAAGAATTTTGGGTGACTATCTAGATAGCAAGACATCTCTGTCAATTTTTGAGTTTTTGGAAGTTGTTTACAATGGACTTCCTGTTAACTTAGGTAATATTATTTCCTTCTGGTGCTGAAGTTATAATTTTCCTTAGTTATGATAAAAGATAAAGTGGATATAAGTATTGTAACTGTAATTCTTACTTGACACCTGTTTTGTATTATGTAACTTTACTATGTTAAAGTTAAAACCTCCTTTTAATTTGAACAGAAAAGGGGAAACGGTGTGGGAAGTCCTTCTGAATATGTGTTGCTTTTAATGGTTAATGAATAAAGAAGCTGCTTTCAGCCAATGGCTTAACAGAATATAGCCAGGCTGGAAAAGATATATAGAGAGAGAGTAGGCAGAATCAGGGAGAAACCATGGAGCCGCCAGAGGAGAAAGACATGAGCTGTCAGCCGGAACCTTGCCAGTAGGGCCACAAGCCTCATGGTAAAATATGAAATAATAAAAATGGGTTAATTTAAGATATAAGAGTTAGTTGGCAATATGCTTAAGTGATTGGCCAAGCAGTGCTTTAAATAATAGAGTGTCTGTGTGATTATTTTGAGTCAGGGCAGTTGGAAAATGAACTAGCAGACTCTGTTAACACCCAAGCCCTATAAGCAGTTTTCCAAAGTTCTAACTTCTTACAGTTTCACTGAGTGTTACTTAAAGAGTCCTGGGATCAGCAAGATGGCTCAATGGGTAAGATCGCTTGCTACCAAACCTGATAACCTGAGTTTGATTCCCAGAAGAACCATGTTGGAAGGAGAAAGTTGTCCTCTAATTGCCCTGAACAAACACATGTAAGATTACAAGATAAACAAATAAATACAAATAAAACATTTAAGTGTTTGGAGCTCAAGTCTGTAATCCTAGCATTTAAAGGGTCAAACAGGAAAATTGAGAGTTCAAGGTCGCTTGGGCTACACAACAAGACTGCCTTTAAATAAATGTAAAAATACAAATAGTAAGTAGTGTGCAGTTATGTTTTGAAAAGAACTTGAGGGGTTGGAGAGATGGCTCAGAGGTTAAGAGCACTGCGTGCTCTTCCAAAGGTCCTGAGTTCAATTCCCAGCAACCACATGGTGGCTCACAACCATCTGTAATGAGGTCTGGTGCCCTCTTCTGGCCTGCAGGCATACACACAGACAGAATATTGTATACATAATAAATAAATAAATAAATATTTTTTTAAAAAAAGAATTTGATTAAATGGTCTCGTGAGTTTCTTTATTGTAAAATTTTTCCACTTCCACATCAGTTTTCTACTGTGAATCTCCAAGAGAAAATGTTTTCCAGGTCAATTAACCTCTCTCCCATTTAGAAACTGCTGGAGTCTGGATGTTAGTGTCCCTTGACAGGGCTCAATTTTGTATGTTGAAATGTAATCCCCAGTATTAAGTAGTATTTGAAAGAGGGTATTTGGAAGGTGGGTATGTCATGAGGACACAGCTTTCATGAGCATGGTTAGTGCCCTTATGAAAGAGGCCCCAGAGTTCCCTAATCCCTCTGCCACAGGATGAAGAAGCATGTCTGAGCTGGGCCTGGTGGCACACACCTCTAACCCAGCACTCTGGAGGCAGAAGCCGGTCAAACTGTGATGTCCTGGCCAGCCAGTGTTACATAATGAGACTCTGTCTTAGAAAGTAAGAGAGGAGGGGAGGGCAGATAGGTAGGTAGGTAGGTAGACAGACAGACAGACAGACAGACATCCCGACAGACAGCATCTGCTTGTGACTTATGTTGGCCTTCAAACCCAATTTGTATATTTTGTTTTCGCAGCCCAAATATACTGACACACCTAAATGAATTTCTCTTACAATTATTTTTTGAGGCCAGATGGTGGTGGTGCACACCTTTTAATCCCAGCACTCAGGAGGCAGAGGCAACTGGATCTCCGTGAGTTCTGGAGGCCAGTCTGGTCTACAAAGCAAGTTCCAGTAGAGCCAGGACTACACAAAGAAACCAACCCCGTCTCAAAAAAGACAAAAGATTCTTTTGGGGGATGGAAGATTTGTTTGCAGCTGGGTGTGGAAGCTCACGTTTCTAACTCCGGCCACTGCAAGTGTGAAGACAGACTAGTTTATACACAGCGAGTTTCCCGGACTAGCCTAATCAACAGAGTGAGAACAAGACTTTATCTCAACAACAAAGGAACGACAGAACCAGATTTGTTTCCTTCCAAGATTTCTAAGGTGAAATTCTAATCATCATATTTTAAATTAACTCTGCTATGAAACACAGAAAGGCCTTATTAACTATCTGGGTGTGTTGGCACACTCCTTAACTCCAGCACTCAGAAGGCAGAGGCAGATATCTCTCAGTCTGAAGCCAACCTGGTCTACAGAGATGGCTCCAGGACAGCAAGGGCTACTCAGAAAAATTCTGTCTTGAAATAAATAAATAATAAAAAGTTTACTAAAGGTAGACTGATTCTAAAGTGGGTTCCACAGTTGTGCAGAAGCTCTCAATGTCACCGTCCCTATCTGTACGCACTACATGATTCCATGTTCTTCAGAACACGGCTGCATCTTCACTCCAGTGTCCTAAGTCCTGCCTACAACAGTGACCAGGTCCTACACACTGCAGACGGCCAGCCTGAAGAACTGAGAGGAAGACCACCTTCTGATGGTTCCTGGGTGACTTTCCTATACTTGGCATGGAGAGCTATAATGATAGATTCTTTTCTTTTCTTTCTTTCTCTCTCTCTCTCTCTCTCTCTCTCTCTCTCTTTCTCTTTCTTTCGACAAGGTCTTGCTGTTCTGGAACTTAATGTGTATATTTGGCTTCCCTTAAAATGGCCAGCTTTGATCCAGATGTTGAAGGAAAAAGTACAGGCTGCTGTGCTAACCTGACCAACACACAGATGTGAGGAGTAACTACTCAGATCCATTCTCTACACAAAGAGGGTCTGAGAGCGCTTGGTCAGCGTGACTGCCTGCTCAGAATCAATGAGCAAGAGCAGCACCGCGAGCACAGAACTCTGAGAAGCCCACAGTCAGGTGAGCTCTGAGAGCAGCTTTATTCAAAGGCCCAACGGTGAAATTTCAAATATAACTATAGAGACTGAGGATTCTGTGAAATACACATAATTTAAAACCCCAAACATTAACCACGAGGCAACAACATCTTAACACTGTTAGTGGAGTCACTTAGATGATGCAGTGGATCAAGGCACCTGTCATACTGCACACATACACACAATAAATTAATAAATGCAATTTAAAATTTAAAAATAACATTTTAAAATGTAAATCCTGTTGTACCTGATAATCATCTTCAGCCTTCCCCAAAACTGCAATTATATAATATAATCCCAAAATTAAACATCTGTAACTACATAATCTAAACATTAAAGTATTTTAATGCTGAAATTCACATTTCTGAAATATGAGCTAAACTCCTTAGAGGCTGACCAAAACCACCAGACTTTACTGCAAGTCCTCAGAGAGATTCAGCTTGGTCTGACCATGGCTCTCCAGAGTAGCTCTGATCTGTTCCCGGTCTCTTAGCTACTATAAACGAACACAACTATCAGAGTGGGCACCTGGAATCTTAGCCTTACATCCTACCTACATCAGCACCACGAATGTGCCTGATGTCCTTGGTACCAGCTCGATATGAGCCAGTGTCTTCCATCGAAAAGGAGTTAGCATTGCGCTGACCATTCTGTCACCACTTCTCTTGGATTCCATCTCAAGCCTCCCTTGTTGGCTACTGCCCACAACCCACGTCCACACAAGCCCCAACTGCCCTGCAATTGGATCCACCTGTCTGTCTTTGGTATGCTGACTCCTGCAGCCAGTTCTCATACACTTGAACCAGATTCTCCTAACAGCCCCAGATAAATTAATTGTACAAGGAGAGCACCCTAATAATTTCTACTTTATGAATTACCTTATTAGATTTTATTTGAGACAGGGTCTCTCTATGAAAGCCTGGTCCGCCTGGAACTAGCTATGTAGACCAAGTTAGCCTAGAACTCAAGCAATCTGCCTACTTCTGTCTCCCCAGTGCTAGGATTAATGACATTAACCAACATGCCCAGCTTACTATATATTTTAAGGCTGATACTGTAACTGTGTCTCAAAAGAGCTTTTATAACATTATGCTAATACCTATGAATAAGATGGTATGTGCCATACCTACCAAATAATATATATAACCTGACAAACACATTATTCAAAATAAGTATGAAAATGCTTGGGCTGGAGAGATGGCTCAGTGGTTAAGAGCATTGCCTGCTCTTCCAAAGGTCTTGAGTTCAATTCCCAGCAACCACATGGTGGCTCACAACCATCTGTAATGAGGTCTGGTGCCCTCTTCTGGCCTGCAGACATACACACAGACAGAATATTGTATACATAATAAATAAATAAATATTTAAAAAAAATGCTTTTCATATGCTCAAAATTCTTCTTACCTGCCTGTTGGAAAACCAGAATTTCCGCTCGTGGTACGCTGATAAGTAGAAAACATGCATCACACCACTGACAACGGCCGCGATACAGCCAATAAGCACCTTGGCAAAGCGCTGAAACGACAAATCTGAGGAAGAGGAACCGGAGTGACTTGTGGTCTGGAGGCAAAGTGATTAAAACAGCATCCTAACTCAATGGTTTCTCCCCAAAACACATAACCCCAGTCTAAGCATGAGAAAACATTAAACTCAATAGAGGTCCATCCTATAGGCCACCTGACAGGGACTCCTCCAACTGAGAGCTCAGTCACATAAGACAAAGAGTCAGAACATCTGAATAAAGTACAGGCTTTACTTAAGGGTAACACCTCAGTATTCATTACCTGTAACAAACGTACCGCACTAATTAAAATGCTAACGAGGGAAGAGGTACCAGAGGCTGGGGGCCAGCAGGAAGGGTCAGTGGGGAAACGTACCAGCCACCAATCACGATGACCTGAGTTCAATCCTTGGTACCAACATGGTGGAAGGCAAGAACTAATTCCCTAAAGTTGTCCTCTGATCTTCATGTGTGCTCATATGCCGAAACACATACACACAGAAAAAAAGTAATTTTTTATTTATTAATTTTTTGGGGGGGTGGTTTTCAAGCTAGGACTTCTCTGTGTAGCTTTGGAGCTTGTCCTGGAACTTGCTCTGTAGACCAGGATGACCTCGAATTCACAGAGATCTGGCAGCCTCTGCCTTCTGAGTGCTGGGATTAAAGGTGCGTACCACCACCACCACTCAACAAGAAAAATTATTTTAATTAAGGTCTATTTCACATGATGAACACACTACAGAGATCTGGTTCACAACAAGGTAAATATGCTTAAAATTAAACAACAATACACTGAAAATTGGTTAAGTCATGAAAGAAAGTCAGGTGGTGGTGGCGCACGACTTTAATCCTAGCCCTTAGAAGGCCAAAGAAGGCAGTCCTCTTAGTTCGAGGCCAGCCTGGTCTACATAGTGAGTTCCACAACTACAGAAAGAAATCCTGTTTTAAAAGGGCAAACAAGCAAACAACAAAAAACATGAGAAAAATGTCCATTGATTCAAAAGTACTGAAAAAGAGTGCACAGTTATCTTACAAGCACTCATTCTGATTACCACTGCTGCCCTATAGGACTTCGCTGACTTTTGAGGGCTATGTCTTAGAAGCACACGGAGCGCACGTGGACTCTGCACACAGGAGAAAGCAGTCCACTACAGCTGTGAGGCACAGAAGTATGGTCCCAAAGGCATGAGACCCACTGCTCTGGTAATGAATGGCAGACAACTTAGGAAATCAACCTTCTGGTTCATTAGATCAGTTAAACCAATCTCAAGGCTGTACCTGGCACACTGTGAGCTGCAACTTGAATGGGCTATGCCCAGGCTCAATCCCTAGCACTGAAGGCAAACAAACTCAGGGTTTGCAAAGTTACTATTTACCATTAAAATTACCATATTCTAAGTATTTTTAAACTTTTCAATAAATCAACTGTTAGTGCCACTATGATATAACTGTTTTATAGTTTTAGGGTTTTTTTGTTGGTTTGTTTGTGGCGGTAGTGGCAATGTTTGAGTTTTGTTTTGTTTTTTGTTTTTTTGTATATCAAGACAGGTTTCTATTTTGGAATTCACTGTGTAGACCAGTCTGGCCTCAAACTCACAGAAACCCGCCCGCCTCTGTCTCCTGAGTGTTGGGATTAAAGGCGTGCGCCGCCACTGCCCGGCTCCCAAAGCACTAAGTGATTACTATGTGCTAAGAGCACAGCAAATATCAGTTGTTATCACTGTGCTAAACACGCATATTTCCATAAATATATAAAGCAACTGAAGCAATTAAATTGAAAGATAAATAACTAATTAATTAAAAAAATAATAATAAGCTGGGCAGCTGGCAGATCTCTGAGTGAGACCAGTCTAGACTGCAGAGCTAGTTCCAGGACAGCCAGGGATACACAGAGAAATCCTGTCTAAAAAACAAACAATATAAATAAATAATAAAACAGTAAAAATTTAATTTGAGGGGCTGGAGAGATGGCTCAGGGTTTAAGAGTACTGGCTGCTCTTCCAGGGGTCCTGAGTTCAATTCCCAGCAACACATGGTGTTCCATAACACTTTTTAATGAGATCTGGTGCCTTCTTCTGGCCTACAGGGATACATGCAGGCAGAACACTATATCTGTAATAAGTAAATCTTTAAAAAAGAAAAAACAAAACAAAATTCAGGCCAGGCAGTGGTGGCACACGCCTTTAATGCTAACACTCGGAAGGCAGAGTCAGGTGAATCCCTGTGAGTTTGAGGCAAGCCTGGTCTACAAGAGTTAGTTCCAGGACAGCGAAGACTGTTACACAGGGAAATCTTGTCCCGAAAAACAAAAACAAACAAACAAAAAATTAAAAAAAAAAAAACTCAAAATATCAATACCTTACAAGGCCAAGTTTTATTATGTTTCACTTTTAATATGCATGGGTTCTTTTGTTTTTGTTTTCAAGACAGAGTTTCTCTGTGTAACCTGGCTGTCCTGGAACTCACTCTGTAGACCAGGCTGGCCTCAAACACAGAGATCTACCTGCACCTGCCTCTACTTCCTGAGTACTGGAATTTAAGGCATGTGCCACCACCACAGGCAACACATGGCTTCTGAGTCAACCATAACCCCAATTCAGGTTACTGCTTAATTCAAGACCTCAGCTTTGCTCTCAGTCCTCTTGTATCCTCACAGTTCCAGATGAATATCACTCCCCATCTGGGACGTGCTGTTATCACTGTAAGGGAGGAAAGCAACTCACAGCTGGTACAGAACACAGGGACACAAATGCTCAGCACAGGGTGCTGGGGTAAGGGCTGCAAAGGCAGACAGCAAAGTGAGCAACAGTGAGCAAAAAGCAAGCACAAGTGTTATGCAGGAGTGTTGTGCAGGGGTGTTGTGCAGGGGCGTTGTGCAGGAGTGTTGTGCAGGAGTGTTGTGCAGGAGTGGGTTTTTAAGGAGAAAAAGGAGAAGTCTGTGCTAGGGTGAGCTGCTAAATCCTGATTGGGCATATTAGCCAAATAATGAATTTTGATTGCTGGACCTTGGTGTTCTGTCTCAGGAACGAAGTCAGTGGCCAAATAAGGGGATGGACCTTGGCGGGCAGCCTTAGGAATGTAACTAACGGTTTTTAGCAAGGAGGAGAAGGGAAAAAGGCAAAGCCTGCCAGTGCCATATTTGCCAGGCTCCTGCCTGTGCTGCCATGCTTGTGCTCAGAACTAGTGCATGGCTCCTCCCCTTACTCCACAGGCTCAAACCAGTCACATGCCTGCCTGCCCTGCTCAGAGGACAGCTGACACTTTTAGTAAAGACAGCATATGTTTCAGAATGAATAAAAAATAGTAACTGACGGGGGCTGGAGAGATGGCTCTCGGGGGGAAGAGTACTGGCTGCTCTTCCAGAGGTCCCGAGTTCAATACCCAGCAACCACATGGTGGCTCACAACCATCTGTAATGAGACCTGGTGCCTTCCTTGCCAGCAATTGTATGCTTAATAAATAAATAAATCTTAAAAAAAAAAGAATAATAAGCAGCAGATCTACACTGCTGTAACTGGTGCTCCTTAAAAAAAAATAGTAACTGACTGTCTCCACAGCCACAAATATTTACTTCCTTCCTAAAAGCACAACACACTCATTGAATAGGGACTGAATAGCTTTCTCAGACAGGCTTCCTACCTGCAGACAGGCTCAAAGTCAATTAAGGCCCAGAGAGTTGGAAAGTTATAGGCCTTCTTAATTTTGACAGGCACTCGCAATGGTTTCATTAGGTAGAGGTAAAGTTACAAACCTCAAGTCCAGTTATTTGGGAGGTTGAGGTGAAGTAAGAGCTCAAGAGTGTACGGCCAGCCAGAACAACTTAGTGAGGACCTGACTCTAAAACAAAAGGCTGGGGGCTGGAGAGATGGCTCAGCGGTTAAGAGCATTGCCTGCTCTTCCAAAGGTCTTGAGTTCAATTCCCAGCAACCACATGGTGGCTCACTACCATCTGAAATGAGGTCTGGTGCCCTCTTCTGGCCTTCAGGCATACACGCAGAAAGAATATTGTATACATAATAAATAAATAAATATTAAAAAAAAAAAGTTAAAAGGCTGGCCGGGCGGCGGTGGCGCACGCCTTTAATCCCAGCACTCGGGAGGCAGAGGCAGGCGGATCTCTGTGAGTTTGAGACCAGCCTGGTCTACAAGAGCTAGTTCCAGGACAGGCTCTAAAACCACAGAGAAACCCTGTCTCGAAAAACCAAAAAACAAACAAACAAACAAATAAATAAATAAAACAAAAGGCTGGGAATGATAATACATACCTTTAATCTCAACACACAAGAGGCAGAGGCAGGCAATGTCTGAGTTCAAGGCCAGCCTGGTCTACACAGGGAGCTTCAAGACATTAAGGGTTACACAGAGAAAGCCTGTCTAGAAGGAAGCAATGAAGGGAAGGAGAGAGAGGAAGGAAGGAAGGAAGGAAAGAAGGAAGGAAGGAAGGGGAAAAACATTAATAAAAAGGTTTGCCTATGAGAAATAAAAATATACATCCACAAACACAAAGTTCACAGCATGAAATACTGCTAAGCAGGGGGCTTGAAAGATGGTTCAGTGGCTAAGAGGATTTGCTGCTTTCCCAGAAGACCAGCTCATCCCCAGCACCCATTTCTGGTGGCTTACACTATCTGTAACTTAGGCTTTGTACAATGTTGTTTATGCTTTCCTCCAGAGTTTAAAATTTAGTCAGCTGATAGGCAAAGGATACCTACAATACCTACATGGCCAACTCTGTGAAAACCAAGGGCTGGCTCTAATGCGCTTCCCTTGTTGACAAAGCTGTAAGTGCCACAATGTGAGGACAAAGAGATAAAGGGGTCCTATAGGTCCACTGGGAGAGGAATTTTGGAAGTGTGTGTCCAATAACTTACAATTTACCCAAAAGGTCTTTCCCTATGCTGACTTTATGTTATTCACTATAGTGAATCATAGTTTAAGGACAATAAGAGTTTTAAAACTGATGTTATGACAAAATAAAACTGGATATCTTCCTTAGGGCAGGGAGGGTGTGCTCTGTCTGACAGAGGGTGTGGGAGGTCCTTCTGTATATGGGTTGCTTTTATTGGTTAATGAATAAAGAATTTGTCTTGGGCCTGGCGGGGCAGAATAGAGGTAGGCAGGGAAAACTAAATTGAATGCAGGGAGAAAAGAGGCAGAGTCAGTGAGACACCATGGAGCTGCCAGAGGAGAAAGACACAAGTCAACAGCCAGAATCTTGCCAGTAGGCCACGAGTCTCGTGATAAAATATAGAATAATAGAAATGAGTTAAATTAAGATGTAAGAGTTAGCCAGTAAGAAGCTAGAGCTAATAGGCCAAGCAGTGATTTAATTAATACAGTTTCTGTGTGGTTATTTTAGGGTTCAGCAGCCGGGAACAAACAAGCGGCCTCTCTTACTACAGAGAAGGCCAAATATTTATAAGGAAAGGGATAAAGTTTAGTAAGATGGTGTTAATATTACCAACCATTTTCTCCTTCCTTACGGAAAGAATATAGGGTGAAATAGCTCACAGAGAGCGTGAGTCACATGTTCAAAGCCCTGGGCTTGATCTGCAATGTGATAAAATAAATGAATGGAGACAGAAGATGATGTATTTCTACCCATGACCATGCGCCTTCTGTTTCCTGTAGTCACGGTGTGCTTCCGTAAATCCATTATCTGGATTCACTAGGACTTGCTTGGACCACAAACAGAAGTACAAGTGACAGTGGGCCAGTCTAGCAGAAGCTCTAAGGGGCATGTATGATTCTACATACTCTCCGGCTCTTCTCCTGCATCCCAGAAAAAAAATGTGCCAAAGAGTGGCTATTCCTTCCTGGGACATGAAGCCAAACCAGCCAACCTGTGACCAAACATGTAACATAACTCAGAAGTCAATGTTTGTCGTATCATGTCATGTCATACCATGGCCACAAACCATAAACAAGATATAAGTGCATATTGTAAGGTGATACAGTTTAGGGGCTATTCTATAGCAGAAATCAATTGTGTTAACGATGAGTTTAATCTCAAATATCTTTCTATAAGATGGGGGCATGCTCAGTGAAAGTGCTTGTCTGGATAGTACACAAGCCCGGGCTTAGTTCCCAACACCTCAAAACACAAAAAGCAAGAAATAATTTTGAAGTTCACGCCCTGACATGACAAAAACATACTTTTCCAGCTGGTGTACCACACCCAGGCACCCACCCAGACCTATGTGACTTACATTTTGAAAGTCTTTCAGAAACTGCGGGGCTTCTGGTCTTCTGTGCTCTGGCTTCCTGGCTTCCTGAAGTCTTGTGCTTCTTCCTTTGGCGGACTTCTACAGTCGACCCTTAAGACATTTAAGACATTATTGCAATGCATGCATCCATCTTTGGTACCTCGAGTGGATCAACTCTGCTATGTGAAAAGCAAAGGCTACCTACATGGCCAGATCCCAGTACACACCCCCAGGCCCTGTCTCTACCTACATGGCCAGATCCCAGTACACACCCCCAGGCCCTGTCTCTACCTACATGGCAGACCCCAGTACACACCCCCAGGCCCTGTCTCTACCTACATGGCAGACCCCAGTATACACCCCCAGGCCCTGTCTCTACCTACATGGGAGACCCCAGTACACACCCCCAGACCCTGTCTCTACCTACACGGGAGACCCCAGCACACACCCCCAGGCCCTGTCTCTACCTGTAGTACACACCCCCAGGCCCTGTCTCTACCTACATGGCCAGATCCCAGTACACACCCCCAGGCCCTGTCTCTACCTACATGGCAGATTCCAGTACACACCCCCAGGCCCTGTCTCTACCTACATGGCAGATCCCAGTACACACCCCCAGACCCTGTCTCTACCTACATGGCAGATTCCAGTACACACCCCCAGGCCCTGTCTCTACCTACATGGCAGATCCCAGTACACACCCCCAGGCCCTGTCTGTAATGAGCTTCCCTGGTTGATAAATTGGCACAAATGGCAAAACTCTGATATGGAGGGAATCAAGTATATCATCTGTGACTCTATAAAAAGAAAATATTGGCATCATGTGACTAAAACAGGTCCTATGAGATCCAATAGTGCCGGAAGTAACTTTTCGTATCTGGAACTCTTCCTCAAACAGTCTTTAGTGTACAGGAATGGAAACAACAACAAACATACATTCCCTACCACCACCAGCGCCACTCACATTTTAGGAGACTAACTGGTAAAGAAGCTTACAAATTCTTATACTGAAATGATGCTCTTTTAAAATGTTCCAAAAAAAAGGGGGGCTGGAGAGATGGATCAGTGGTTAAAGGCACTGACTGCTCAACCAGAGGACCCAGGTTCGATTCCCAGTACCCACATGGCAGCTTACAACTATTTGTAACTCCAAGATCTGACATCCTCACACAGATACACATGTGGGCAAAACAAATAAATAATTAAAAAATATTCCAAAAAAAGTTAATTTTTTCCCAAAAATTCTGAGGGATATTTTTAATCTTACTATGTTAGCTACCCGAGATTAACAAATCAATCTTTTATAAAATTAAGTTTTTTCCCATTCCCCCTTCTTTTTAAAGGCAAGCTCTTGAGTAGCCTCAAGCTCCTGACTCTCCCACCTCAGTCTTCCAAATGCTGGAATTACAGGCATGCACCACCATTTTTCTTCCCAGGATTTGGGACTGAACAAAGGGTCCTGAGCACACTAGGCAAATACTGTACTGCTGAACTACTGCCTAGCCAGGCCTTCTCCACAGAAGGATCTCACAGAGCTCACAAAGGTAGGTCCCATCACACATGGGGAAGAGTTTGAAAAAAGTGCCCTAATACTAAAATGGTCACCTTTTCTATTTCTAATGTTTTTTTTAAAAAAAATATTTATTTATTTATTTTTTAAATATTTATTTATTTATTATGTATACAATGTTCTGTCTGTGTGTATGTCTGCAGGCCAGAAGAGGACACCAGACCTCATTACAGATGGTTGTGAGCCACCATGTGGTTGCTGGGAATTGAACTCAGGACCTTTGGAAGAGCAAGAAATGCTCTTAACCACTGAGCCATCTCTCCAGCCCCCTATTTATTTATTTATTATGTATACAATATTCTGTCTGTGTATATGTCCGCAGGCCAGAAGAGGGCACTAGACCTCATTCCAGATGGTTGTGAGCCACCATGTGGTTGCTGGGAATTGAACTCAGGACCTTTGAAAGAGCAGGCAATGCTCTTAACCACTGAGCCATCTCTCCAGCCCTATCAGCCCTATCTCTAATGTTTTAAAATGTAATGCAGAAGTTAGTAAACCAGTAAGTTAAATTCCAAATTAAAAGACAAGAGACTACACATTGAACAGGAATTTGGCACAGATAAGTTTTTCCTTTCCTAGCAGAATAGAAACTACTGTGATAGGCTAGAGGCCCCTGTCAAGTTCATAATGTGGCCCGGGTTTTTATCTCTCTTCCTTCCTCTTAGTTAAGTCACTCAGCTATAAAATGTGGACTAAAGGATGGAATCAGAAGCAATGAGAATGGGCCGCTCTGATCAAACAGACAACTCCTTAGCTTTACTGTGAAACTGTGTAAAACAGATTCGGAGACTGTTTCCAGGCAAACTCGCGCTTCCTAAAATGTCTCTAGATCACAGTGCAGCAATAAAAGGTGAGCCGTACCTGGAGGTTTGGTCTCACAGTCCAACTCTCACCTACTTTCATGGCGCCATGATCTCTAACCGCACTCTAAACTCCCACGGTGTTCTCATTCCTCATCAACGAAACGCCTCTGTGCACATTAAAGAAATCCACAGCCAAGCAAAATGCTAAGACGGGGAGCCAGGCCCAAAGGACACATCTCCAGAACCCGCATACCTAAGGCTGAGGGAACATTGTGGAAGAGGGGGTGGAAAGACGGTAAGAGCCAGAGGATGAAGGATTCTGCTGAGACCACAAAGTCTCCCCAGCACGGCTGCCAGAGCAAGAGCAATAATGGACATGCCACAGGAGAGGGAAAGACCACCAGGCCTCAACCCTACACAAAAGGCAACTAAGGAATGCTGATAGGGAGACAGCCTACCCCAGGGAAGACAACCAATTAGTTATTAAATAGCAAATGTTCAGTCATAAAAACATACACACAAGTAACATCCACACTGAGTAGGTTATATTTAGAAATATATATTGCATGTATGTAACAATTAATGAAAAAGGAGGGCATAAATTTGAAAGAGACCAAGAATGGGTATATGGGAGGGTTTAGAAGAAAAAGGAGGGCGCAGAAGTAATTATATTACAATTTCAAAAATATAAAAATATTTTTAAAATAAATAAGAACAAAAAAATTGAGTTTTAATATTGTTTAGTTACATTAAATTTCTGCAGCAAAGCCTGGTGGCTGTGGCACATGCCTTTAATCCCAGCAGTCAGGAGGCAGAGGCAAGTGGCTCTGAGTTCCAGGTCAACCACAGCTCACAAAGAAACCTTATCTCAAAAAACAAACAAACAACAACAAAAAACTGCAGCAAAAAAACCTGAGCTGGGTGAGGTGACTCACTACCAGAATCCCAGAAGCCAGAGGCAGGCAGATCTCTAAGCGTTGAAGGCCAACAAAGCCAGTTCCAGGCTAGCCAGCGTTAGAGTAAGACACTGTTTCCAAAGGAGGGAGAAAGGCACAACCTGACAAAGAAAACATGTATTTTAATCATTTCATAAATTCTGTCAATAAAACCAAGTTTTTGCGTGGTGCTAAAAAGCTAAGTAAACGCAAATTCTCACTTCCTTTGTATTATTATCCAGGTAACTGAACAATAGAAAGACAAAACTTATGCCATGGGGATGACGAAGTCAGGCAGCAAAGTTTAGACCCTGGGTTGGAGCTAACACTGACCAAAGGATGGGGCGTGGAAAATAGCAAAGCTGAAAGCAATCTCTGGGATGAATTCAAGTTCCCTTTTCAAAAGGTTACATTTTTAGCATTAGAAAGAAAAAGCCAAACCAAACGATGATTACACATCTGCTACTTTAATCTCTAGTCCCATCATCATCACATGAGCTAAGGGCTACAAACAGGCTTCTAGGTGTCCATCTAGAAGAGACAGGCAGGGCCCAGGAGAAAAGCTAACACTGTTATATCAAAGCGTGCAGAAGAGACAGGCAGGGCCCAGGAGAAAAGCTTGCCATTCCTTTCTTTGACTTATGTTTGTTTCAGAGGGTATAAATGTAAGCACCAATAAACTTCTACTGCATCAAGAAAGATGTTTGGAAGAATTAACTGTGAGAGACAGTTGGAAAACAACGAGATTCCAAGTGCCTGTGAATAAGCCAAAAGCTAGAAACGGTACCCAGATTCAAATAAAAATATACAGATTGGCCTAATTTTATCACAACAAATACAAAATATGTAAACAGAAAGTAGCCAGGGGAACACCTGCATGTTTGCTATCAATCCTACCATCAACAACATCATTATGATGAACATTTATTCATTCTCTGCGCCTAAAAAAGTAGAGGCCTGCCGGGCGGTGGTGGCGCACACCTTTAATCCCAGCACTCGGGAGGCAGAGGCAGGCGGATCTCTGTGAGTTCGAGACCAGCCTGGTCTACAAGTGCTAGTTCCAGGACAGGCTCCAAAACCACAGAGAAACCCTGTCTCGAAAACAAAACAAAACAACAACAAAAAAAAAAGTAGAGGCCTAGCCATGAAATTAAACATTTGTTGAAGTAAACAACATATTTCAATAAACTGCCAGCCACTAATTGTCCGAAATACAACACATTGGTTTTTAGATTACCTATAATTCTACAACCAAAAAATCATTTATTAGTTTATAGTCAAATACTTTTACAAAATTATAAGTCTTTTAACAAGTTCAGCATCATAGCTGTTAAGCATGACTACATCCTAAATGACATTTTTGCATATTTACAATATCAAGTTTTAGTAGTGCATTTTTTTTTTAATGTGCTCACAAGGGCATGCAAACTGGTTTGTCAACCTTCCTGGATCACAGACTTGTAGCTAACCACAAAAATAAAACTTACAAAGCCGGGCGGTGGTGGCGCACGTCTTTAATCCCAGCACTCGGGAGGCAGAGGCAGGCGGATCTCTGTGAGTTCGAGACCAGCCTGGTCTACAAGAGCTAGTTCCAGGACAGGCTCCAAAACCACATAGAAACCTTGTCTCGAAAAATCAAAAAAAAACAAACAAACAAAAAAAAAACAAACAAACAAAAAATAAAACTTACAAAAACATTTTTTTTTTTTTACAAATGATAACACATTGCAACAACAAGGAAAACTAAGGAAACAAGAGGAATTACGGTCGTCCTTACAAACCACCTGTTTCTGAGGCTGTTTTTTTAGGCAGTATCTTAAACGTGGGTGAATCCTAACGCGGGGAACTGCAGAAAGAGGAGTGATTAAATCCTGACTTCACGGACAGTCCCAGGCAGCACTACAGCTCTGATAACCTTCTCAAGAATAGCTTTGCATTGAATTTTGCAAACTCCCCTCTTGTACCCTCGGCTCAAGGGTTTAAATCTGAATCCGAGGAACTAACGAGCCCATTCCCAACTCCACTCTGTAAGATAAACTGTTTTCCAGCAGAATGCAGCATCTAACTGCTCAGACAAGCGAGAAAAGTCTAAGAGCACAGTCGTGCATACCCTTACCATGCAGTTACTGTATAAAAAAGTATTTACACATATATTTATCACTGCCAACTTAGTTTCTTACCGCCACCTATTTTTCCTCTAACTGTGGGCATCCACTCTGGATAAATACTGCTGGCTTTAAAAAAAAAAAAAAAAAAATCAGTTTCTTGGCATTGACCCTGAGGGGCGTGAAGAGATCTCTCCAGCCCATCAATTTTAATCCAAGAGGTCCTTTGGACTCCTCGTTCCCTCAAAACCACTTGCACACCCCTGCCCTTTGCGGTTCGTTATCCCTCACAGCACAAGTGAGCACCATAAGGTTCTGCGCATTCATCCAGGCTCCCCGCGTCCGTTCCTCGCGCAGGGTGCGATCCCAAGCTCCCGGCGCGCACCCGAGCCCACCAACCTCGTCCCGCTTCCAGCACCGAGCAGCTCTGGACCCACGGCTCCGCCACTCCCCACCAGCTCCCTCTCCGAGACTCCCAACTCTGAGCTCCACCTCAGCGTCCCACTCGGGGAGACAAAACTTCGGGCCAGTCTCTCCGCGCGCCCGGGTCCTCCGCAAACTCAGGGGCGCGCGCCCCCGGCCGCCCCGCTCCCCGCGGGCCGCAGCCAGGCCCCGGCCCCTCTCCCGAGCCCGCCGCGGCGGTTGGCGCGCTGCACGGCGCGGCCGTCACCTTCTTCCTTCGCCATCGTCTCCGCGGAGGCCCGGGTGGCCCGCCAGCTGCCGAGCGGACCGGAGTCTCCCAAACCTCCGCCGTCTGCCAACCCGCGGCCGCAGCCGCCCGGTCCCGGCCGCCGCGCCCCCACTTCCTGACCCGCCCCCCTCGGGTGTCGCCGCCAACTGTGTCCCCCCAGGCGCTCCGGGAACCAGAGTGCAGGGAACGGAGGCCGGCCGGAGCGTTTCGCCGGCGCGCCCGTCACGAGCCCACGACGGCGCAGTGATGGCCGCGCTCCAGGGAGGAGTGGGGCTAGTGAGCCCGCGTCCGCCCTCCCTTCCTCTCTCCGCCGTGACCCATCCGCACCGCAAAGCAGGAGCCAGAGCGAGCGTCTCGTGACGTTGGGATTGGACTCGGGAAGTCACAGACTGTTGTCCCGATCTGGTCCCCCACGTCCGTCCCATTTTACACAGAGAAAATTGAGGTACAAGCGCAGAGCAAGTCACTAGAGCGGGAACCCTGGACCTGATCCTCTGTCAGTGCCTGCATGTCCTCACGATGGTTTCAAAGCCGGGCAAAACATTATAGACGGGGTCTGTGGACTGGGAAGACAGTGTTTGTTTGTTTGTTTGTTGTTGAGACTGGAGCTCACTATATGTGACCCAAGGTGGACTCAGTTTGTAGACCTCTTGCCTCGGGTTCCCAGCCACAAAGATGGCAAGAATGATCCCGTTTGGTTTCGAACACACTTGACTGCTACAAAAAAGAAGCTTGTACTAGGTTATTCCCTATCGTAACCCTAGAATTTGGGAGGAAGGAAGGGAGGGAGAGAAAGAGAGATAGATAGAAGAGGAACTGGTTTTCTTTTGATATGATAACTGAAGATGATTTCTGAGACGGCTCTCTTGACCTAATCATGTTGCTCTTTTGTCTCCATTTGTTAGTTCTTAGTCTTTTTCTTTATTTTTGAGACAGAGTCTCATGTGCCCTAGACTGGCCTTGAACTCGTGGCAACGCTCTTGACTCCAGGTCGAGCGCTGAGAATAGAGGGCTGAGAATAGAGCCATGCAACATTATACCCAGCTTTCTGTAGTTTACTTTTCTTTCTTTCTTTCTTTTTTTCCTCTTTTTTTTTCTTTTATTTATTTATTTCAAGACTGGGTTTCTCTGTGTGGCTCTGGCTGTTCTGGAAATTGCACTGTAGACCAGGTTGGCCTCAAATTCACAAAGATCTGTCTTCCTCTGCCTTCCGAGTACTGGGATTAAAGGAATGATCAGTCACCACTTGGCTGTACCTTTTTTTGTGTGTTTATTTGTTTGTTGTTTTTTGTTTTGAGACGGGGTTTCTCTGTGTAGCTTTGAAGTCTGTCCTGGTACTCATCTGTAGACCAAGTTGGCGTCAAACTCACAGAGATCCACCTGCCTCTACCTCCTGAGTGCTGGGATTAAAGGCATGTGCCACCACTATCCACCTATCCTTTTTGTTTGTTTGTTTGTTTTTAAAATACTGAAGTAGTGGTGCCGAAGAGATGACTTAGAAGTTAAAAAGATCGTGGCTTTCACAGACACCAGGCAAGTGGGCAAATACCAATATTCATAAAAGAATTTAAAAAATTAAGAAATTTAAAGTGTTCTATTAAAATAGTTGAAAAGGTTTTTGTAAAGGATTTATTTATTATATATAGAGTTCTACCTCCATGTATACCTGCAGGCCAGAAGAGGGCACCAGATCTCATCACAGATGGTTGGGAGCCACCACGTGGTTGCAGAAATTGAACTCAGGACCTCTGAGAGAACAGCCATCTCTGCAGCCCCCAACTCTATTTTATATCTGCCTAGACCTTCCTCAGCCTTCCACACTGCCACAACCACGTCTGCCTTGGCAGCACTTTTGGGGTCTAAACAGAGAACTCTCAACAGAGGAATCTAAAATGGCTGAAAGACACTTAAGGAAATGTTCAACATCCTTAGTCATCAGAGAAATGCAAATCAAAACAACTTTGAGATTCCGTCTTACACCTGTAAGAATAGCCAAGATCAAAAACACTGATGACAACATATGCTGGAGAGGTTGTGGGGAAAAGGGAACACTTCTGCATAGCTGGTCGGAATGCAAGCTGGTACAGCCCCTTTGTAGAACTTTAAGACAATTCTGAAGCCATTTCTGACAACTCTCAGTACTTCCCCTACTCCCCTGGGAACCAAGGACATAACAGCTATGCATGCACGTACTGAGATGTTGGGAACTTTCCATCTCCCTGAATAGGGGCATGATAACCCTTAGGTGTTGACTCAGTTACTGATGTTTTGACTTAGTCCCTGGGAAGAGGCAAAGTGACCCTCAGAAGTTTCCCTTAACTTCATCTGATCTGGCAACCACTCTCCAGCCAATTATTGGTAATAGCCGTTTTGAATAAGCCAATCATAATAGTTAAAGAACAACCCCCAGACACCCCTTCTGTGGTTTTTCCCTTTAAAAATAGCCTGTACCAGACATTCAGGGTCTTCTAGCCTCCCGACTACTGGAAGACCCTGTCATGACAGAATTAATAAAATCCTCTTGCTTTTACGTCAGCTGTGATATGAGAGATGGTCTCTTGGGGTGACTCCTCCTCCTTGGTGATTGGACACTAGGGTCCAACACCTTTGGATGTCAGTGTGGCAATTTCTCAGAAAATTAGGAAACAACCTTCCTCAAGACCCAGCAATACCACTTTTGGGTATATATCCAAAGGATGCTCAATTGTGCCACAAGGACATGTGCTCAACTATGTTCATAACAGCATTGTTTGTCATTGCCAGAACCTGGAAACAACCTAAATGCCCCTTGACCTAAGAGTGGATAAGGAAAATGTTCTACCAGAACATCCCAGACTCTTTTGGTATATGGACATCAGTTCATGTCTGGCTGCTTTCTGAGGGCATGAGGTGACGTGGGGGAGGAGCAGAGCTGGTGGGCTCATGCTCAGTGGTAGGTGTGGGTGGATAAGCATCGGGTTAACTGCCATCCTGGAGACCTACCTCAGGCATTTGTTTCATGAGGAAGCAGAAAAGGCAAGTTGCTGGGGAAAAAAAAAACTAGATTCTTAACACCTGTTCTAGCTGTATTGACAAAGATAAGTGTGCCCTTCATTGGGACATCTTGGAAAACCAGAGGATGAAGGCCCCAGCTGGGGGACAGGCCAGGTATCCTGAAGAGGTGACTGCTTGAGCTTGGAGAGGTAATGCCAGCATGGATGTCCCAGGAACGTGGTTGCCAAAGGGGTGGTGAGGATCATATGTAAGCTAGGACCCAGCAGCTTGGTACACACCTGCCAAGACAGGAAGGTAGGCCCGAGCCTCGGTTTACCCTAAGGCAATACCTGGTTCTAAGAAAGACCACAAACACCCAAGCTCCACCCATGAACAGATGCCCCTTAGCCCAGCACACACCCATCCCCTGTCACCAGGGAAGAAATTCCTAACATCCCAACCATTGCAGACAGGATCACCTGCCAGTCCACACCCATAGCTTTTCACCAGGACACCCCTAGACAAATGTCAGCCAATCAGGGGTTCTGAACCTTAGAAATCCCTCACCCCTAACTTTGCTGCTGTAAAAACCCAACCCCAACTGAGTTCGGGGCTCTCTGATCACTCCAATACGTTGGACACAGAGAGCCCAAAGTTGCGAACTTATAAGAAAAAGAAAATGAAGGCTCTTTTCTTTTACATATGGGACTCGGTCTCCATGTTGTTTTTTGGGGAAGTCCGCAGATCTGTCCATTGGCGCTCCAGACCTAGGAACTAGCTGCTTGAGTACTCTGTGCCCCAGGAAGGGTGGGGCAGGCAGGTATGACAGGGAAAGAGAATGCAGGAAAGTGACAGGGTCTTCAGTGGGAAGTTAGCTCTTCTTTGCCTAAAATTTCCCTTATCTTGTGTGTGTGTGTGTGTGTGTGTGTGTGTGTGTGCATGTTTGTGTGTGGGCAAATTCATGTATGTACACACGTGATGGCCAGAAGTCAAGCTCAGTGTCCTTTTTATTAGTGACTGTGTGTGCACTTGCCGCACCATGTGTGTCTCCGTCCAACTTAACATGGCTCCTGTAATGGATTAACTACAAATGCTGCCGAATCCCCAGCGCTGTAGGTCCCCAGTGGTAGCAGTGGCAGAGGGTCCGGAAAACAGCCAACTCACAGAGATCCACCAGCCTCTGCTTCCCACGTGCTGGGATTAAAGGCAAGTGCCACGGCCGCCCGGGGACTTTCTATTAGGAGCCAGCCTCCACCTGAATGCCCGCAGTATCCTGAGCTTTGTCTCTGCGAATGGAACCCATCCCTATGAAAGAGGCTCCATGTACTCTGCATCCTCCATCAACAGAATCCATCCTTACGCTTATACAAATCCTGCCCTGTTTGAGTTCCTGTCCTGACTTCCTTTGATGGTGAGCTGTGGTATGAAGTGTAAGCCGAATAAACCCTTTCCTCCCCAAGTTGCTTTTTGGTAATGGTGTTTCATTGCCACAATAGGAACTCTGGCTAAGACAGGCCTGCACAGGTTCAAGCTGCATGGGATCCCAGCCCTGAGAAGTGGAAATGGACAGAAACTCTCATCCTTAACCAAGAACCGGCTTTCCAATTGACACCCACTGCAAAGGAAAAATATTTTCTCCAATGCAACCAACCCCCTTGGCATACAAACCACCTGACCAGCAGGAGACAGGCAATACAAAAACTAAATAAAAAACAATTATATTTTTGGAGGTTGACAGTTTTTTTCTTTTGTTAACCTTACTGGTCTTTTGCTTATGCATTACGGTTTCCAATTTTGTATTGTTATGGGTTGTTTTGTGTGTTTCATGTGCTGTTTCTTTTTTATCTGTTTGTATTCTAAAGAGAGAGAAATAAGGCCCATGGACTTGGAGGTGGGAAAGACCTGGAAGAAGAGGGGAAACCA